GAGCCTTCCATCCACTGGTTCATTCCCCCAAATGGCTACAATGGTCAGAGCAGGGTCAGTCTGCAGCTGGGAGCCAGGAGATTCTTCTGGGTCTCCAGCGTGGGCTCAAGGGGTCTAAGGACTGGGACCATCTTTGACTGCTTTCCCAGGACATTAGCAGGAAGCTGAATCAAAAGTGGAACTGCCAGGAACAGAACTGGTGCCCATATGGGATGCTGGCATCACAGGTGGAAGATTAGCCTGCAGTGTTACTGCACTGTCCCCTCCACTTCTAGAAGTGCATATAGAATTATCTGTGCCTTTGCTAACCCTCAACAATGAACCCAAGTCAACAGACAGGCTCAGATGAATGATTTGGACACGTGACATGATTGCTATGTTTTTTGCCTGTTGTCTTCACCGGTCCCTGTGCTTGGTAACCATTCTCCTTAACAAGCATCCTTATACTGATGGGGAGAGCAAGATTGATTATTAATGCAAGATCCATATGTGGGGGAGCTGGGCTGAACGTTGCTCAGAATAGCAGCCTAGGTGTTGAAAAGCATAGAATTGCACCGGGAATTCGGGGGACAGAGAGAGCTTTCCCATGGCAAAAGGTTACAACTCATTGGTTTACCCAAGTGTTCATGAAGCAAGGGTGCTGATGTCCGGTGTGATAGGAGGGTGAAGAATACAGATCCTTCCCGCTGCCCGAGACGAGCCTTGTTCAGCTCGCTCTTTGGGGTGCCGGTTGATTACAGAAGCAAGACACTGTGCTTGCCCTTACACCCTTTGAACAGGGGTGCAGTTCTCTAAGGAGCCTTGTATACGGAGTCCTTTTATTGGCACAAAGTTTTGATTTGCAAAGCGACTCCAACCTCAGAGGTCCTGTACATGGATGGCTTTGCCACCATCGTTTCCCTTTTCAGGTAGGAGGTAAAACAAGTCGCACCGATGTCACACGCTGCACTCGTGTTCCCAAGGACGACACTGCACAAACTGGACTCGAACTTGGTTTTTCTCATTCCCTTCTGGTGTGGTTGCTGGTAGGGCCATTTGCATTTCAACAATGAATGAAAGAAAGTGCTGGGATTCCAAATCAGAACTCCAGGAAATGCTTAGGCGCTTGGGACACTGCGGACTTTGTTGGGTCCCTAAATTTACACTACTGGCATAGCAGTGACTATTAGGTGACACCCACATTATGGAGCTTCCCCGTAACTCTGCCTTTTGAAGGTGCTAACCTGCCTTCCTGCCAAGTCCAAGGCCAGTCCTCCTCTGGGACTCAGTTATCCCAACTGCTTTCCAACACCTCCCTTCTATTCCTCGGTAGCTTAGGTACAAACACTCTGAGTAAACAAACAAAAAAAAATTCAGTTTTTCCCTCTTACTCTTGGCAGCCTGATGTTAACTTCTAAACCCTGGGTGCCTTTCTTTTTAGTTGATTTTCAAAAAGACAGGGAGGAGAGAAATGCAAGTTGAGGGTTGGCTGGAGGAGGAGGCTTGGCAAGGACTTGGCACCAGCTACAAATCAAGTTTAGACCCCAGAAAAGGACTTGAAGGAACCACCCGTGCCCACAACGGCTCTCCCTGCAGCCGTGTTTACCCAGCAGCCAGCCTGCAGCCTTGTAGCCCCAGAGCCGCCAGCTCATCAATGCCACATTGTACGGAAATGTGTGTGTGTTTTTCCAGTTAGGCGGCTCCGGGTAGGTAGTGGATGATTTGTGAGACTGCTTCAGAACACCGAGTTGTGAAATTCTCCATCAGGAAGGGTATGTTGCCATTGAGACTCACACATTTATCGTTCCATTCAGCTACATCTACTCAGGTTACCATATGCTCGGTGTTGGAGTGGCCAGGAAGGATCGATGTGGCTGCTGTCCTACTCAGAAGATGCTGAGACTTTGGGACACCTTGGACATATTCTTGTTCAGTGGGCAGCACTGCCATCCTGGGATCCTCAGATGAACTGACCCAAAAGATTGGGGTTAGGATGAATGGATTTCATGGTTGAGACCTAAACATTGTTCAGAGAAACCAAGGTTTGAAGACATTAAAACAGGAAAGATGTGATTTCTGCTCTTGGGGGCCGTTCAGACTAACCGGAGAGACAGATAATAATGGCAGAATAACAGTTCTATTGAAGGGCCACAGTTCTTAAGATGGACAGCTGGCTTCTGAGGGTACGGAGGGGCAGTGTGGCGGGAGATGGGTTCAAAGTTGTAATGGTGGAGGGATTGGGTTTAGTCACAAAAGATTCCAATGTGGGGGACACTGGACAGGTGTCAGGTGAATTGATGATGACACTGGAGATACAGGGAGAATACGAGTTCAACAGCATGGCTGGTGGGTGAGGCAGTGTTCACAAAATCACGGAAAGCGCCTCACCCACTCATTCACCAGACATTGACCGAGGACTCACTATGCACGGGCACCAGGATAGGCACAGAGTGGGTATGGCCAGAGCTGGGAAGGTACTACACCTGTCCCTGCAATATAAGCACCATAAGTGACTTAGCTCCTAGAGTCACAAGGAGTTCAAGGGGCTCTTCTCCCACCTGGACATACATCACCTTATTCCTTCCTGGAATTAAGGCCTAATTGGACGGTGTGCTCTCAGTGTTGCTAAGAGGCAACAGGTAAATGGCTCTTTTGTTCTACAACTGATTTGCAATAGACTTCTTAAAATAACTGCCAACTTACTAAAGTTGTAATGACTTTGTGACTAGTTTTAAAATTTATTTTCTGGGGTTGGCACGGTGGTTAAGCCCCTGCCTGCGGTGTTGATTTCCCAGTTGTGTGCTGGTTTGAGTCCCAGCTGATCCATTTCCAACCTAGCTCCCTACTGATGTACCTGGGAAAGCAGTGGAAGATGGCCAAGTGCTTAGGTTCCTGCACCTATGTGGGAGACCCAGAAGAAGCTCCAGGCTCCTGGCTTCAGATCAATCCAGCTCCAGACATCACAGTCACTTGGGCAATGAACCAGTGGATGAAAGATATTGTTCTGTAGCTCTGCCTTTCAGATGAAATAAATCTTTAAAAAAATGTAGATGCCCATCTACTTGGGACCCTGCCACCTACCAAGGAGATGTGACTGGGTTTGCTGTGGCGATAGGGGAGGGAGTCCATGGATCCAAGTGTTTCAAATAATTAAATCTTTTTTTTTTTTTTAATCCTGATTGGTACTAAGAACTGACCAGGGAGTTCATCAGACAACTACCAGCTAACTCCCTCAGGGTACCCCCTAGAAATGTTACAAAATGACTTTTTTTTTTTTTTTTGAGAGGGAGGAAGGGAAAGAAGTAGAGAATGAAGGGGCTTGCCACAGGTAGGGCTAAGCCAGGACTTAGAAACTTGAACACGCAAGTACTTAAGCCATCTACTACTGCCTCCCAAGGGTCCACACTCACCCGGAGCTGGAGTCAGAAATCGGGGCTGAGAATCGAACCTGGGTACTCTGACCTGGAAACCAAGTGGCTTAGCCACTGGGTCAAACACTCCCCGCTGGCAATTAGATGCTGCTGCCTTATCCTAAGGATGTTTTAAAGACTGCCCCTGGCTTGGGGTTGGCAACTACAAGCGTTTGAGGAGCGAACCAAAAATGGGAGTACTCTCTCTATTTCAAAAAAAAATTTTTTTTCGAAAATATGTTTTTAGAAAATACCCGCTGTAGCGCATACAAGTGAAGTCTCACCCTTAGGTTAGCAGCTGCTAGAAAGCAAACAGCTAAGTAAACGATTGCCGGACCCCACTGCATTTACCATCCCTAAGTATCTGGATTTTAAAATAGCATGTTTAATTATCCCCGAGAGAAGCCTTGTAGTCCATAGAAAGGAATAAGGAGAGGAGAATCTTTCTTCGGTGCACTTCAAAAAATTATATGAAGCTGAAAAATGACATAGGTCGTACATCAAATGTGGGTTCAAATTCCCGTGCTTTCTGTGAAAACAAAGCCCATTCTTTTCATCTCTGTGTCCTGGATCATGAAATGCAAACCACGATCCGTCCCTCTTCGCACCAATCACTGGTTCCAGCTGAGGTAGCTGCCGTTTAAGTGTGAGCATGTTCAGGACAGATGGTGGCCTCATTCAAGGTGCAGCACAGGCTTAGGCGCCCTTGTGGGCACTCCACCTGCGAAGGCTGCGCATTCTCTACTCGTTGAGAACAGGCAGGGGCTGAACTGGAAGAAGGACTCCCGGCAGCAGATTCACTGGAACCTTGGCTAGGTGTCAATTCCCAGGCCAGACGGCAGGAATCCATCGCCTTGCAGCTCCCCCTCGAGGTCCAGGAATCATAATCTGGTGGGTGAGTGAGTACGGTGACAAAACCATCACCAGGTTCTTGGTGATCTGGAAGAAACACTCTTGGGTGCCCAGCAAAGCTGTCAAGTTCCACGCCTGGTTCCAAAAGAGGAGGGCTGTCGAGTCCTCTTTCCTTGAAAAAATTACTACATTCTTCGGCGGTAGGAGACGCCAAGCAAAGTTAACACGCAGACGACAGAGTTGGACTAATGTGTAACAGCTCTGCCGTCGGAGGGGCTCGTCCTCTCCGACGGCATCAAGCTCTGCCTACGGTCCCCCTTTCACCGGCTCCCCAAACAGCCGGGGAAGGCTTCCTTGGGGACCGCTGCGCTCTTCCCGCCTCCCTGTGCCCTCGCTCTCCGCCCAGGCGCGCGCGCTCCAGTGCAGCCCCTTTTGGCACGGACCCTTCCAGGTGCCCAGAGCGAAGGCGGAGCCGGGTTTTAGCCGCCTCCCCGGCGCCACATAGAAGACCCCCCCCTCCCCGCCCTCATCCGTCCCCTGCCTCCCAGCACTCTCCGCCCCGGGAGTTGGGCGGCTCCGGCGCGCAGGGCATCCCTCGCATTCCCACCCCCGGCCCTGAGTCCGCTGGCTCTCTACGCCCGCGGCCGGCAGTTAAGCGCAGAGTGCAGAGAGCAGCGCCGAAAGGCGCGCTCTGGGCAGCCGCCTGGGCATCCCCTAGTGCAGCCAGACCTCCCACACCCTGCCGCCGCCGCCCGGACCATGACTAACCTGCGGCCGGGCCCGCGCGCCCTCGCGCACTGCTGCCTGTCCCGGCTCTGGATGGCGGTAGCTCTGCTCCTGTTCGGTTTGCCACGGCTCTCCGTGCGGGCGGATGGTGAGTATTTGGATGGTGGCGGGTCCAAGGTGGATGCAGGGTGCGGGCTGGTGGGGAAGGCGAAGTGCGCTGGATGAACATGGCAAGTAGCAAGCGGGAAGGGAGCGCGGCGAGCTGCGGTCTGGCGCCCGGCATCGCCGTCCGAGGCCGGCTGAGCCTCCCGGGAGCTGCGCGCCCTCGAAGGGTCCCGGGACTCCTGCGCGCACCGAGGAAGTGCGGTGCGTTGGTTCTGTGGGGCCACAGCCGGCTATAGCCGGGTTTCCACGAGCGTTCCTTAAAATGGAATCTCCTCCGTGGTCGGAGTGCAGTTTTCCACTATCCCTCTGTCCCTCAACGTGTATTAAATATGCTCTTGACGGCAAGGCCGGGAGTTAGAAAACTCGGATGATTTGCCTTGGTCAGAGAGGATCCGAACGATGGAATGAACCAGACCAGGAGTCGAAAGGGGACCGTGCCTTAGGAAGTAGCTCTCTGAGGGGCAACAGACGCGGGACAAAGGGCAACGAAGGGGCCGGAGCCCAGAGTGCAAGGTGGGAATGTCCCACAAACGGTGTTGTGGACTGTGTGAGAACTAGTCGACTTTCATCGGGGTGAGGGTTTCTACTTGTTGGTTTTGTTTTTGAACTTGAAGACTCTTAAGACTTCCTTAACCTAAGCGGGATCAGAGTTCTGGGTCAATTGCGGTTGCAAAGCAAATTTAGCTTATTCTGATTGTAGAACACCACCCCGCCGCCTCCTCCCCCTCACCCCCGCGCCCCTTTCCCTCCCCGAACTCCGCAGAAACACTTGAAAAAAAAACCGGTTTAAAAGCCAGCAGTTCTCAAGCCCATGAAGGGCTTTGGTAAATTGAGAGAAATTAGATTGACTTGGAGAGAACCCTTTGGCTGAGTTCGAATGCTTTAATATATGTTGAAACGTGGTATAGCCGGCAATACTGGGTGGAAATAGACAAGAGGCAGCATGGTGCTTAAGGGGAAGGGGGGCTGGGAAGAACACACCATGCCCCAGATGTCAGCTCAGCATTTTCGGTACTCTCTGGCCTGTGTGCAGGCTTCTTATCCAGTATGCTTTATTGCTCCAGATCCTTGTACCTGTCGAAGACACATTTTTAGCATACAATTCACATGAAAGTTCCCATTGAAAGAATGTATGACTCAGTGGCCTTTAGTGTATACCTTATATCGTGAAAATCATGGTTGTAACATCAATCCTGAAACATTGCCATCACACCCCGCAAAGAGCCCTTATCTATTGGCGATCAGTCACTGGTAATTCTTTATGGTAATGTATCCCCTGACGTTTTGTTATTAAGCTGATTTGAGATCATGCGAGCAGAATACTGTGGAGTCAATACAAACTTTTGTTCCACTTGTGCTTCTGCGTCCATTTTAATCCCCTGTAAGGAACTCTCTTTGCCACCCGTGAGATCTGGGAGCTCTCCTCTGTCATTCCTGCGTAAGTGGCAGCCACGCAGATAAGGGACCGGTAATTTGTGCCTGATACACTTGGTGTAGCCCAGAGAGGACTGAGGGCAAAATTGGAGGGGCAACACCAGGGCGCATGTCTTGTTTGCCTGTCTCTGATCGCCTGTAATACTCCATTTTCTCCCCTCTCCTTCCTTCCCTCTCCACTTCCCAGTGGAGACTTATTGGTCATTTCCTTTCCAGAAACTCTGTTTGCAAAGCTCCAACTTCTATAATAGAACCATTGAAGAACCCTGGGCTGTGCTGAAAGGATTCTTTACTAAATATATGTCCAGCCAGCACCCCTGCGCACCTTCAGTTATTCATGTGCTGCAGGGAGGAGAAGAGGACCATGATGCATTACAGATATTTGAAGGGGATGGATATGGAAGCTATTTCTTTTAAAACAGGCAGTAGGAGAAATTTGAACAAAAGCCATTTAGTGTACATTTGATTTGACATACATCTCGTGCATAAAGGTGACCTGCCACGTCCTTGTCAATGACTTTTGAGTTGGAAAAAAAAATATCTCAGCATTAATTACCTGCAACCAAACTGAGTGATGCTTTCCAGGACAACTCAAGAATTCACCAGGTACTTACGGAGTCTGTGCTACTCTGCTTGCTGATGAAGACGGAATAATGAAGAGAGATGGATTCTTTCTCTCAGGAAGTTTATACAAAGTCAGATATACAGAGAGGAGGAGAGACAGAGAGGAAGATCTTCTGTCTGATGATTCACTCCCCAAGTGAGCACAACGGCCGGTGCTGTGCCGATCCGGAGCCAGGAGCCAGGAACTTCCTCCAAGTCTCTTACATGTCTGCCTCCTTCTCTGTTGCTTTGCCTGTCAGTAAGTCTTCCGTAAAAGTCTATTTTGTAATTCCTATACACAGCGGTAATTATGTTATTGTTGCAAGGCAACAGGTGTAACAGTGCCTGGGATCAGTGGGGGCTTGGTGCAGCTGGTAACACTGTCATCTGATACGTGATTGCCTATGCCAGTCTTGTCCACTCTGCTTTCCAATCAGCTTCTTGCTCATGTGTCTGGGAATATACCAGATGCCAGCTCAAATGCCCTGGCCCCTGCCGCATGCATGGGAGACCAGGATGAAGTTTCTGCCTTCTGGCTTTGACCGGCCCTGGTTATCGCAGCTGTTTGAGGAATGAACCAGCAGGTGAAACATTTCTTGCCCTTACTTCACCTTTCAAAAACAAAAACAATGAATCAATGGTGTGATTTTTGTGTCTCAGCCCTGTAATCTTGGATAAGCATTAATGTTAAGTCTTAACTATGAAGTGTAGTATTAGTACCCACTCCAGGCAGATCGATTGTTGAAAGCATGAATACAAAGACTGCCTGTAGAGCTATTCATGCAACACCTGGACCATAGCAAGCACATTTGAACTGTTTGATAAATAAGTGATTTTGATTTGCTTGTGTTATACTCTAGAAAACAGACTTCATATGATTTGCAGCCACTGGGATGTTTTTAGATTTGCCTTATTGCTTATTAGCTCAATTTTACAAATGTTCTCTGTGCCTGATGTTGTATGCATTTTGTAGTTAAGTATGCAATACCATACAAATGTTCTTCTATCAGAAGTGTTGATTTAGCGATGTGAGAATTGTGGTGTAGTGCGTTAGTAAGTCACCACTTAGGATGCCTGCATCCCATGTTGGAGTGCCAACTCAAGTCCCAAACACTCTGTATCTGACCCTGCATCCTGGGAATACAACGTGGGGAGCCAGATGATGCTTCCTGCCACTCGCACGGGAAGACTTAGATGCCGTTCCAAGATCGCAACTTCCACCTGACCCAGGCCTGGCTCTTGCGGCTCACAGAGTGACCCAGCAGATGGAGAATCTCTCTGTCTCCCTCTGCCTTTCCAACAGATGAAAATTAAACATTTAGAAGTGTTATTTTGTTAACTGAATCTCCTATTGGCATTCTAAATTTTTCTCTTTTAGCAGTTACTGAGAGGAGACATAGTTGCATTTTCTCCTAAGAATTATGGATTCTTCTGTTCCCCTGTATAGTTTCACTAATACGACTTTTCTCTTTAAAAAAAAAACAAGATTTATTTATTATTTTTACTAGAAAAGTAGATTTACAGAGAGAAGGAGAGACAGAGAGGAAGATACTCCATCCGCTGGTTCACTCCCCAAGCAGCCACAGTGGCCGGAGCTGAGCCAGTCTGAAGCTCGGAGCCAGGAGTGTTTTCTGGGTCTCCCATGCAGGTACAGGGTCCCAAGGCTTTGGGTCATCCTCCACTGCTTTCCCAGGCTACAAGCAGGGAGCTGGAAGGGAAGTGGAGCGTCTAGGACACAAACAGGCACCCATATGAGATCCCAGTGTATGCAAGGCAAGGACTTCAGCCATTAGGCTATTGTGCAGGGCACTAATATGCCTTTTCTAAAAGATATATTTATTATTTCATTTGAAACACAAAGTGATGGGGGTGGGGGAGAGGGAGAGAGTGAAAGTGAGAGACAGGTAACTATCTTCCACCTGCTGGTTATGCTCCTAAAAGTTACAACAGCCAGACATGGGTCAGGCTGAAGCCAGGAACCAAAGTACCACCCGGGTCTCCTACATGGGTGCAGGGGTCCAAGGACCTGAGCCATGTTCCACTGCCTTCCTAGGTGCAGTGGCAGGGAGCTGAATTGGAAGTGGAACCACCGGAAGACAAAACCAGCGCTCCCCATGTGATGCCACTGTCAGAGGCAGCAGATTAACCTACCTCCAGCATCACCTTCTCTGTAGTCCAACGTGAGAGCAGCAGTCGCCAGCAGATAGGCGCCCCGTGAGGCTATCTTGCGCTTTGTTCTAAAGTGCAAAGTTAAACTGATTCTAATTATTTTGCAAGTAGATGACAATGAAGTGTCTTCAAATACCATCAGTATATAATGAGAACTGCTGGGTTCTAACTGGGATTTTAACCCTTTTCTTTCCCTTGAACTTGACCTCCCGTCCCCAGAGCCTTCTTTCATTCCTTCACGAGGCTCCCAGGGACTACGGTTTTCCTCCCTCAAGTTCTTTTGCTTCTCTTGAGCTGCCTGAATCCACATCCCCACCCTAGTCCCCCATCCAGCTCTAGGCCCACCACCTGCCCGCACACTGCTGTAGGCAACCATCCCAGACACGTCCAGAAGTGGAGCTGCACAGTGGGTGGAGCCTGATCTGTCCTGAAACAGGGAAGCCCCGCGCTGTGCAGGAGGTTCTCCCCAGGGGCTTAAAGAAGCAGAAGCGGGCAATGCTTTGGACACCAAGTGGTGGGATTCAGGGGGAAACCCCTATTTAACAGCAAGATTTAAAAGCCCTATGACTGTCACATGCTAGAGCAGGTAGTTATTTTTTCTTAAAAAAGAAAAAGAAAATGAAAAAGGCAGAAACATATGAAAACACTAGCGTCATAAGCTGGTCCTGAAGTGGAGCTAACTTCTGGCAGTGCCAGCAGGTGTGTCTGCCAGATAGTAAGTGTGCTGAGATGAAATTCCCAGGCAACAGGATTGGTGTTGTGGGGCAGCACGTTGGGTTACTGCCTGGGACACCAGCATCCCAGTGCTGCGAGCTCTGTGCCCATGCATAGGAACCTAGAAGCTCCTGATTGTTGCAACCATGTGGGGAGTGAACACGCACCTCTCACTTTCAAATTAAAGAAATACAAATGGTTCATTCAGTAATCAATCAATTCCCAGGAGTTTCAGCGTGCACCTGTATTTCCTTGTCCCACGCAGGAAAGCTGTTTGTGCTGGAGGCTCCCCCGGGCTCCGGTGGCCTGGGGCTGGAGGCGGCTAGACTTTCCTGCCAGAGCAGAGATGCGCACCTGGTGTCGGCGGACGAGCTGCGCAGAGTGGTGCGGGACTGCACCTTGGCAGTGTGCGCCACGGGCTGGCTGGCAGACGGCACCCTCGGGTAAGTTGGAGCCACTGGGGACGTTCCTCTTTCGCGGCGCCTCCCGCTCCTTCGCCCCTATCCCAGGCTTCTCCACTGGCAGGGATGCCAGGATTGGTCCAGGCGCAGTAGGCGGTGGCGTTGGGGGGCGCTGTTGTTTCCAGTTCTTCCGTTCCAGCTTTTGCTGCGGTTCTGTCTGTCTTCCTCCTCTTGGGTTGACATTTTGACGTTTATTCTCCTGTTTCTAACAGTATAAATATGTCTACAACACCGAGTTTCTCTCTTCCACCTCAGAGGTAGTGGCTACTAATAGCCTGGCTATTAATATTTTCTGCAAGTTTTGTAGCCCAGAGGTTTCAATGCACAGGGCATGCATTTAATATGTATATTTGTCGTTCAGGAAACTCCTATCCTATATTGAAGTGCCTGGGTTCAAGTCCTGGTGCCTCTTCCAATTCCAACATCCTTCTAAGGCACACCCTAGGAGGCTTGAGCAGTTGCTTGAGCCCCTGCCACCCATGGGTGGGGGTCGGGGGAGGCCTGGGTAGAATTCCTGACTCCCGGTTTTGGCCTGGCCTTGTACCAGCTCTTGTGGGACTATGGGGGAATAAACCAGTAGATGGAAGGTCTCTCAGTGTTTCTATGTTTCTTTTTGCTTTACAAATAAAAATAAACTGTGATCACCGGCTCTTCGGGCCCACAAGAGCTGTGTGCAGTTGACTCCCTTGGAATTGTTGCGGTAAAGCAGAGCAAGAGTGATACCTGAGGGCTTCTGGGATTGGGCTAGACACCCACACAGCCTGCAGCTGAATGTCTAGAACTCTCCCTGTTGTAGTGTTGCTATAACACAAGGTCTATCTAGGCTGAAAGAGCAGAGCTGAGACCACACCAGGAGCCTTTCAGTGCGGTAGACTGTGGTCCTGTCCACCTTGTTCAGTGCATGCTGCAGAAAAGAGAATACGTCATATGTCCACATTTCCACAATGTTGCCGAGTAGGAATGTTTTTCATAGCTCTGCGGCTATAACTGAACTGAGTCAGTGGAAAGATCTCATCTTCTGGTACTTGACTGTAAGATGTTGGGACACAGGGCCCAGCACAATAACTCAATGGCTAAATCCTCCACTTGCAAGCACCTGGATCCCATGTGGGCATCGGTGCATGTCCCAGCTGCTCCACTTCCCATCAGATCCCTGCTTGTGGCCTGGGAAAGCAGCAGAGGACAGCCCAGTGCCTTGAGACCCTGCACTAGGAAGAAGTTCTTGGCTTTGGATCGGCTCAGCTTCAGCCATGGCAGCCATTTGAGGAATAAATAAGAGGATGGATGATCTTTCTGTGTCTGTAAATCTGTCTTTCCAATAAAAATAAATAAATCCTTTAAAAAAAAAGATATTAGGACATATTGGTGTGTCCTCTTTCATGGAGATGATAGTGTGTTATAAAGAAAGCCTACATGTTACAGGATATGGGCAGTAGATTTTAAGCTCTCTGTGCTCATGTTTCCAGGAGCCAGAAGGTGTCTGACCATTAACATGTGCGTTTCACTGCGGGCCTCTCGTGGGGCCCCCTTCTCCTGCACAGTCCTGGAAAGCAGTGATTATGTATATGCAGCGTGCACCTTGGAATTGATGACATCATAGGTACACAACAGATCTTACCTGTATCTCTATGAGTTTATGTTTTGTTTTTTTTTTAAAGATGTACTTCATGGGGCTGGTGCAGTGGCATGGCAGGCCTGTGGGACAGGTGTGTGAGCATCCCATAAGGGTGCTAGTTCATATCCTGGATGCTTTACTTCAAAGCCAGCTTCCTGTTAATGGCCTGGGGAAGCCGTGGAGGATGGCTCAAGTCCTTGGGCCCATGCATCATGGTGGAGACCCAGAAGAAGCTCTTGGCTCCTGGCTTCAGATCGGCTCAGCTCTGCAGTTACAACCATTTTGGGAGGGAACCACCAGACCCCTCTCTCTTTGTCTCTCTTACTGTAAAATCTGCATTTTATACACACACACACACACACACACACACACACACACACACATATATATATTGAGAAGATAGGGGGAGAGGCAATCTTCCATCTGTTGGTTGACTCCTCAAATGGCCACAATGGCTGGGAATTGGCCAGGCTGAAGCCATGAGTCAGAAACTTCATCCGGATCGCCCATGTCTGTATATGGGGCCAAGAACTCGGACCTTCTCCTGCTGCTCTCCCGGGCATCCCCCTTCTCTGGGTACTGGTGTGGTTGGGCTGCTGGGTACAACTCTTTCCCTTTTTCTTCCTGCTTCTCCAAGATACAGGAAGCAAAAAGGAGATCTGAAGCAGTATTCTCATCCACTTTCCCCCATTCCTGGACCCCTCCCACCCTGATCGGTGATCCATATGGGCATGTATCCTTTTCAACTATGTAAGCACCATTAAATCTGTTATGAAAAAAATGTCCTCCAGGGGCTGAACAGCTTGGTAGCAGTTGTGATGGCCCTGTAGGAGCGGGGGCCTGGAGGTTGGAAACCACTTGCCTTCCTGTGTTCGGACCTGTCTAGGGGATGCTCTCAACGACAGTTTGTGAAGCAGCAAAATCTCTGTTGATCCACAACTGAAGGCAGAAAAAACAAAACAAAAACAGTTCTCCCTCATTTCTTTCTCCCCAGGCCAGAGAAGTTGTGCTAACCCGGTGTTTGTTTCAGGACGACTGTGTGTAGCCGAGGGAGCGGTGAACGGCACATCATGAAAGCTATCGATGTGATGATTGAGACAAGCCCAGCTCCTGGCGGTGCCTACAGCGCCCTTTGCATGAAGGATGAAGGTCCGTGCTAGAGGCTTGGGGCAGGTCGTGGGGGTCGTACTCTTGGGGTTTGGTCAGGTGACTGTAAGGAAAAATTCATTGTAGGTGATTTATCAGACCAGCCGCTCAGGGGAGGAACAGGAGAGAATGGGGAGGGAGCCAGGCCAAAGCCAGAGCCCAGGGATGCAGCCCAGGTCTCCAGAGTGGCAGGGACCTGCTGTGAACATAGTGGAAAGCCGAGCCAGCGCTGGGACCCAGGCAGTCATTTCCGGTTGCTGCTGGACATCCCCAAGCAGCATCTTCACGGCTGGGCCAAATGCCTGCCCTGGTTTTTGGCTGGTTTTGAGGGATAGGTTGGAAGAATTTGGAATCTTTTGTTGTTTGAAAGTACTTGCAGTTCCCGTGAGGCCGTATAATGTTTCATACAACTGGATTTGGACTCGTTGTAGATGCATATTATAAACAACAGGAGAGCTACCAAAAACAAAGATAAAAGGAATATAATCGACATGCTAAGGAGAGAAAATAAAATCATGCCAGATTTTCTGTTAAACTTTGGTAGGGGCCAGCACTGTAGAGCAGCAGGCTAAATCACTGTTTAGACACCCGAATCCCATTTTGAATAGGGCTCGACTCTGATCAGGCTCCCCACTGATATGCCTGGCAAGCAGCAGCTGGCCATTCAAATGCTTGCAGACCTGTCTTCCACATGGGAGACCAGGCTGGAGTTCCATGCTCCTGACTCCTGGCTTTAGTCTGTCCCAGCCCTGGCTGTTGCAGTTATTTGGAGAGTGAATCACTGGATGGAAAATCTCTCTCTCTTTGTCTCTCTCTCTCTCTCTGTCTTTGTATTGTGTGTTTGCATTTCAAGTAATGAAGACTTTAAAACACTTTAGATGCAGACACATATGGATTAAAAGTAAAGGGTTGGGCCTGGTGCGGTGGTGCAGTGGCTCAACAGCTCAAGTCCTGACCTTGCAGGCACCAGAATCCTATATGGGCAGCCGGTTCGTGTCTCGGCTACTCCACTTCCCATCCAGCTCCCTGCTTGTGGCCTGGGAAAGCAGTGTAGGAAGACCCAAAGCCTTAGGAACCCTACACCCAGGTGGAAGACTCAGAAGAAGCTCCTGGCTCCTGGCTTTGAATGAGCTCAGCTCTGGTTGCTGCAGCCACTTGGGGAGTGAACCAGCGGATGGAAGATCTTTCTGTCTATCTCTCTCTCTCTGTGTAAATCTGACTGTCCAAAAAAAAATCTTCTTAAAATATTTATTTTAGGGCCCGGCGCGGTGGTGCAAGTGGTTAAAGGTCCTCGCCTTGCACGCCCGGGATCCCATATGGGCGCCGGTTCTAATCCCGGCAGCCCCGCTTCCCATCCAGCTCCCTGCCTGTGGCCTGGGAAAGCAGTTGAGGACGGCCCAAAGCTTTGGGACCCTGCACCCGCGTGGGAGACCCGGAGGAGGCTCCTGGCTTCGGATCGGCATAGTATCGGCCCGTTGCGCTCACTTGGGGAGTGAATCATCGGACGGAAGACCTTCCTCTCTGTCTCTCCTCTCTGTATATCCACCTTTGCAATGAAAAAATAATAAAAATAAATCTTTAAAAAAAATTTATTTTATTGCAAAGTCAGATATACAGAGAGGAAGATCTTCTGTCTGATGATTCACTGCCCAAGTGACCACAACGGCTGGAGCTGTGCTGATGCGAAGCCAGGAACCAGGAACTTCCTCCAGGTCTCCCACGTGGGTACAGAGTCCCAAGGCTTTGGGCCGTCCTCGACTGCTTTCCTAGGCCAGAAGCAGGGAACTGGATGGGAAGTGGGGCTGCCGGGATTAGAATTGGCACCCACATGGGATCCTGGTGCATTCAAGGTGAGAACTTTAGCCAGTAGGCCACTGCGCCAGGCTTGAAATAAATTTTTTTTTTAAACTAAAAGGTTGAAGAAAGATACACAATGGTAATGCAATCTCTATTTTAAGAAAATGGGAGTGGTGATACTGGTTTCGGGCAGAACAGGCTTCAGAGCAAGGAAAATTAGCAATGAAAGGGAGCATGCACAGTGAAGACGCGCTCAGCACCCCGAGAAGACACTCGATCTTTACTGTATATGTATGTACCAAGCACACCCACGATGGAGATCTCAGGCTACAGTAAACTGGAAAGCGATCACAGAAGGGCTGGCAACATGGATTAAGCTGCCACCTGCAACACTGGCATCCCATAGGGGTGCTAGCTCAAGTCCTGGCTGCTGCACTGGAAATCCAGCTCCCTGCTGTGTTCCCGGAAGAGCAGAGGAAGATGGCCTGAGTGCCTGGGCCCCTGTGCCCACGCTACAGACCTGGATGGAAGCTCCTGACTCCTGGCTGTGGCCTCACCCAGCCCTGGCCCTGGCCATGGTGGCCATTTGGGGAATGAATCAGTGGATGACAGTGTGTGTGTGTGTGTGTGTGTGTGTGTGTGTGTGTGTGTACGTGTATACATGCGTGCCTTTCAAATACATAAATCTAAAAAAGAGAGAGGAGCTAGAAAAATTCCCAAAAACTTGGAGCTCAAACGCACTTCTAAGTAACACAGGAGTCCAACAAGAAACCTCAAGGGAAAGTTAAAGAAGAATAAAATGCAAGTTTTGAAGATGTTTGGGAAGCAGTACTTAAGGAAATTTACAGCATTGAAACTACGTGTCAGAAGAAAAATCTGGAATCAATAATCTCAGCTTCAGTTAAGCAAATCAATTCCAAAGTAAGCAGAAGACAGGAAAGAATAAAAACTAGGACAAGAAGCAGTGAAATTAAAAATGGGAAAGCAGTATAAGAAATCAACGAAATGAACATCTAGTTCTTTTCAAAAGTCCAATAATATTGATAAATTCCTAACCAGGCTAATTAAGAAAAAAAAAAGGGGGGGTGTCAGAACCGTGGCATATTGGGCTAAAGCTCCTCGTGGGCACCAGCATCGCATATGCGCACCTGTCTGGCTGCTGTACTTCCAGTTCAGATCCCTGCTGATGTGCCTGGGAAAACACAAAGCCTTTGGCCCCTGCACCTACCCGGGAGACTGGAAGAAGCTCCTGGCTCTCGGCTTTGGACCAGCCCAGCCCCAGCCAGTCATTTGGAGAGGTGACTCGGAGGGTGGGAGATCTGTCTCTTTCTCTGTCTCCCCTGCTCTTTCTGTAACTCTGCCTTTCAAATAAAATAAATTCTTTTTTTTAAAGATTTTTATTTATTTTTATTGGAAAGGTGGATATACAGAGAGGAGGAGAGACAGAGAGGAAGATCTTCCATCTGATGGTTCACTGCTCAAGTGACAATGGCTGGTACTGCACTAATCCGAAGCCGGGAGCCAGGAGCCTCTTCTGGGTCTCCCATGCGGGTACAGGGTCCCAAGGCTTTGTGCCATCCTCGACTGCTTTCCCAGGCCACAAGCAGGGAGCTGGATGGGAAGCAGGGCCACCGGGATTAGAATCAGTGCCCATATGGGATCCCATCATGTGTAAGGTGAGGACTTTAACCACTACACTATCGCGCCGAGCCCAAAATACATTCTTTAAAAAGGCAGAGAGGACAGGAGAGAGAGAAAAGGTACAAATTACCGTCAGGAGTGGAGGAGAAAAAATCGCTGTAGATCCCATGAAGATAAAAGTATAATAAAAAACATTAGGACTAACTCTGTGTCAATCAAGTTATTTAATGATACAGTTCCATACGTTCTGGGATTTTGCGCATGTCAATCAATTTTTAAAAAAGGTTTATGTGTCATCTCTTTGAAGGAGACAGACAGATCTTCCATCCAATAGTTTACTTCCCAAATGTGTGTAGCAGCTGGGGCTGGGGGCAGACTAGAACTACATCCATGGGTGACATGAGCTCAAGCACTTGGGCTGTAATCTGCTGCCTTCCCAAGCACGTTAGCAGGAAGCCGAGTCAGAAGCGAAGCAGCCAGGACCCAAACTGGCCCTCATCTGGGATACGAGTGTCCTAGATGGTGGCTTCATGTATTGACCTCACAGCTGGGAATCTGAGAACTTAGATGAGAGACAGCGTCTACCAAACTAACAGAGGAAGCGGACCATCTGAACAGACTATCACTGTTGAACAAACTGGATCCATAGTTAACAGCCTTCCAAAACAGAGCACCCGGCCCATGTGGCTTCACAGGTTGGTGCCACAAAACATTTAAGGAAGAAATGTTGCCAGTTTTCTACAGTTTTCCAAAAAGTTTGGGGCAGAAGAATCATTCTTGTAGGCTTGTATCACCGTGATACCAAAACCAAGTAAAGGCATTACAATAAAGGAAATATCAATCAATTTATCTTATTAACCTGGATACACGAATCTGCAACAAAGTACAGGCAATAACATTCCAGCAAATGATCAACCATGTGCATGACGCCAGCCCCTCCCTTAGGACTGTGTTGCTTTGTGACACCATTACAGTCTTATTTTGTGCAAGCACACTTGATAATGTTGGCACTTGAAAAGCAACCAGCCATGTGCTTTGCAAAACATTTGCACATCAATAAGCAACTCACGGCCATATTAGTAAATTTAATCCAACAAGCTATCAAAAGAATCACACACATTAGCCAAGTTGGATTTATCCCAGTTATATAAGACTGGTTCAATATTAAAAAAAAAAAAATCAGGGGCTGGGGAGTGCGATGATAGCTAAACTGGGGGTCTCAGCTGCTCCACATCCCATCCAGCTCCCTGCTCAGGGCTGGGAAAGCAGTAGAGGACGGCCCAAAGCTTTGGGACGCTGTTCCCACGGGGGAAGTCTGGAAGAAGCTCCTGGCTTCAGATCGGCTCGGCTCTGGCCATTGAGGCCACTTGGGGAGTGAACCAGTGTATGGAAGATCTTCCTCTCTTTTTCTCCTTCTCTTTTTAAATCTCGCTTTCCAATAAAAACAAATAAATCTTTTAAAAACAAAACATAAAAATGACAGCTTTGCAGCACTACATGCATTGACCCAGCCAGGACTCCTCAGTGCCCCATCGATACCAGGCATTCTGCCAGGCTGGCCCCTGGTCCCCAGGGTGGATGGGGAAGGTGGGTGTGGCAGGAGAAAAGTGTTGGTTTTCTCTCAGGCTGAGCATGCGCCGGCCAAGCTGACTGTGGTTCCCTCTCTGCAGAGAAACCGTGTGGAGACCCGCCTTCGTTCCCACACACCATGCTGCAGGGCCGCACCGGCTTGGAGATGGGGGATGAGCTGCTGTACGTGTGTGCCCCAGGCTCAGGCAGCGGGCAGCGCGAAATGGCCTTCACGCTCCTGTGTAACAGCTGCGGGGAGTGGTATGGCCTGGTGCAGGCCTGCGGCAAGGGTAAGTGTCCTGGACCAGCTACCGCCAACACCAACTCCTCCTCCGCCTCTTCTTTGCAAGCCCACACAGTGAAGGGTTCCCCTTTGGGTGAATGCATGTGGCAATGGCACCCACTGCTCTGGTGCTTTGCAAAGAGCTTTGTCCACCTGTTTGCTGAGCTCTGGGCCTGCAGCATGACTGTGGCCCAGCTTCTCATTGTCCTTTGTAGGGGAGAGAAAGGTGAGCGGGTTAACAAAATCTCACCTCCTAAAGAAAGAGTTGACTTTGTGTTAGCTTATGAGTCTGTCTCCCTGGAGGGCTGCTCAAGATGGACCCCAAGCAGCAGGGCTGGTGATCAAAATGACCCCCTTCTGACTGAGAGGCTGGGTTATGATGAGCACATCAGAGGATGTCCCACACTGGGCCTCATTGAGAGTTGGTTCTCTCTGCACTTGACCTTTGTGGGGACCTTGAGAGCTACTCGATGGGTTGGTTTAGAGGCCCTTGAGTGGGTGTGGGACTTTAAGACAGCTGGGACCACGTACACCCCTGCCAGCCCTGTTCCCTTGCACAGTTGTGACAGGTTAAGTGGCAGTGGGGCAAGGTAATTCACTCTGGTGGGAGGACTGCCCGCCTCACTTGCCACCTTGCTCTGTTCGTGGCCAGGTGCTTTCTGAATGCCAGGTGTGGCCCGAGACAGTCACATGAGTCTCATTATTTCTCTGAAACTCGAAAAGCAATCATGTTGAACACTAAGCACCCCCGCTGATTCCCCTGATCTGATTCCCCAGGTGTCCGTCTTCCATCATCCTCATCTCCTTCTTGGAGGTCCCAAAAATGGGATCCAGTGTGGGACTGGGGCACAGTTTCCAAAATGTTCTGCAATCTCACTGGGCTCCTCTCACCCTAAAACTCAGCCAGAGACCCCGTCTGATGTCTGTGGCATCTGGGTGCCAGGCGGAGGCTGGATCCACGGAAGAGGGGATGCCCCCAGCACTGTGCTGCTAACGTCTGTGAGCTTCATGCACTTTGTTGCCGTGGTTTTCTGTCTTCACTGCTGTTTACTCTCAAAGCGTGCAAGCACCACTGCTCCTCCGTCTGGCCTGAGAGTGGTGGCCATGAGGACCACTTGCCAGCCTCTCTGCTCGGCTCTCCTCCTTGGCTGCTGCTTTGCGCCGGGCAGGAACTACTTGCCACGTCTCAGTACTCGCCTGCCCAAGAGAACCAAGCATAGGGACTGGGCTTCCTGCTGGTTGGATGCAGAGCCTGCAAAGGAAGGGACTCATACTCACTCCGAGCTGCTAAGCCTGTGACTGCGGTCACACTGGCATGTGAGCCACACCTGCCCAGTCACGTGGTCTGTTTACTGGCCTCAGGAGAGGGAGAGCTAAATGCCGGTTTTGTGTGTTGGCCGTGGTATTTCTTTTCCTCACTGCTGCGCAAACGAGGGAGAGCGCTCAGCAGCCAGGCGGGGAACTCTGGTCTCTGCCCTTGGCTGGGTACAGACTGTTAGAGTTTTTGTGACTGTAGGTTTAACACACAAAGCAGCTGCGTCATCTTAAGATATCTGTATATGCTAGAGGAATCTCTTCATTTTGCTACAATTTGTACATTTTTTCCCCCCAATGAGCATCAACTTTAAAAAAAAAAAAAGCTTTCTTTAGGTCTTTGAAAGTTACACAGTGAGAAAGAGAGAGAGGCAGAGAGGTCCTCCATTCGCTGGCTTCACTCGCCATTTGGTCACAATAGTTAGAGGAAGCTCCTGACTCGTGGCTTCAGGTTGGCTCAGCTGCAGTATTGTGGCCACTTGGGGAGTGAACCAGCAGACAGAAGATCATTCTCTGTCTCTCCTTCTCTCTGTAGATCTGCCTTTCCAATAAAAATAAATGAATCTTTACAAAAGAAGGAGGAGGGGACCGGCACAACAGCATAATGGTTAAAGTCCTCGCCTTGCATGCACCAGGATCCCATATGGGCGCCAGTTCCAATCCTGGTAGCCCTGTTTCCCATCCAGCTCCCTGCCTGTGGCCTGGGAAAGCAGTTGAGGACAGCCCGAAGCTTTGGGACCCTGCACACATGTGGAAGACCTGGAAAAAGCTCCTGGGCTTAGGATTGGCTCAGCTCCAGCTGTTGCAGCCGCTTGGGGAGTGAAGCATCGGACGGAAGATCTTCCTCTCTGTCTCTCCTCCTCTCTGTATATCCACCTTTCCAATAAAAATAAACAAATCTTTTTTTAAAAATTCAAAAAACAAAAAGAAGGAGGAGGGGGAAGAGGAGAAGGAGTAGAGCAGGGAGAGGAGAAGAAGGAAAGAGAGAGAAAAAGGAAGAACAAAGAAAGAGAGAGAGAGATGGAGGGAGGGAGGTGTCAGGCACTGTTGCTAGCTCAATGGCAACACATTCCTTCTCTTTCTTCATGGTGGTCCTTGAAGTCCACAGAGAATGAGATTTGGTCCAGCCTCGTTGGGACCTCCAGCTAAGTTGTGCTAAGGAACAAGGCAGTGCGTGCAAATGAGAAGCCAGCAGTCCCGTGCCTGAAGCCTCAGCTCCCCGCCTTCACACTGAAGGGATAAAACATCGTAGCTTGTGCAAGTTTGTACCCAGTTACAGCATGTGAGGCTGTGGAGCATGTGTCACCCAGCAGGCTGGACTCGGCTTTGATGCACCGAGACCAGCCGAGAGTTCCTCTCTATTGACCTGTCACGGCTGCAGGCTCCTGGCCATGGCAGATCTGTGGCATGTACTGTCCCAAGCCAGACCAGTGTTCCACCCTGGGCAGGGCTCAGGAGAACAGGTAGCCCTGACAATCAGCAGCGGGGGGTGGGGAACACACTAACAATGCCCCCTGCAATGCAGAACCTATTGTTTACTAATAATTCTCAACTAGAGCTTGTGATTTTAAAGAAAACATCAAGAAAGTGGGACTAATGAACTAGCTGAGATTTAAAGTAAGTAGCAAGGGCAGGCTTTGTGGGCAAGCAGCATCCCCTCTGAGCACTGATTGGAGTCCTGGCTGCTTTACTTCTGCTCCAGCTCCCTGCCAATGCACCTGGGAAGGCAGCAGGTGGTGGCCCAAGTACATGAGCCCTTGCCACCCAAATGGGAGACCTGGATGAAGTTGCATATGTTATTGAAACCATCACCAGGCTCCCAAATACAGAACATTTCCACCATTTCTGAAGTTCCTTGTGCCCATTTCTACAATTGTTTTGCACAGTTTATGTCGTCTAGTCTTTGCAAATCTGGGGGTTGAAATGGAAAGTCCCTTTTACAGATGGGAAAACAGAGGTACAGGATGATGCTATGGCTCGTGTCGTGTCACCCAAGCCAAAAGAAGCAGACCCAGGAGTGTCTTCTCCCGGCCTTGGCATCCCATCCACGGGCTTCCTCTGAGAACTTAGACACCTGCAGAGAGCTCAGGGGAGGGCAGTTTCAAACCTTACAATGCCTTCAGTGGGCTCCCTGTCTCGCTCTTCTCTCTCTCTCTCACTCACATCATGAGGCCTGTTTTTCTTTTCCCACATAAACTACTCTTCCTTGCTTTTCTGCACCATTTGGACGGCACTGCCTTTGTCAAACCAAGCATGGGCCTGCATCTGAATTTAGAACTTCCTCACCAGTGTTGCCGTATTTGTCCAGGGCTTCTCTTAGCTCTTGGTTATTTCTGGCTTGTCTGGTTGTTCTTTTTTGAACCTACTATTTTTAAACACTGTGTAGCCAAGAGCAGAGGGGTAAAAGAAGAAGAAGAAAGTGTGTGTGGGCTTCCAGAAATGCAGCAACATGGGAAAGACGTGGTAAGTGGCAGTGCTGTGAGCACCCCAGTGTCCTGCGCCCTGGCCTGTACACCCCAGCCACTGGTCACGACCCCGCCTGCTAGAGACCCGGGTGGGGCCTAGAAGCCAGCCTTCTCTTCTTCCTGACCGATCGATGGCCATCTGCATGCTCTTTTATTTTCCAGAAATAGCAGTTGGGCCTAAATGCGCGGTGAATGATCCAAGTTTTGCCAGGAGAACCCAGCAAGCTGACATTTCCCAGGCTGGCTCGTACAGCTCAGAAGGTCCCTTGCTGTGTTGGCAGGAAAATGCCCAGAGTCTGGAGGCAGGGAAGGGTGATGTGAGTTGGAGAGGGCAGACAGGGAAAGTGAGAGAAGTAACACCTGGCCGTCTTGTGGGCAGAACAGACGCTGGGCTTCGGATCGGATGAATCAGAAGCTTCCTGTTTCCCCCACAGAGGAGGCACCCCAGCCCCAGGCGCCTTCCCTCTGAATGCGCTGAGTGTAGGCGTTTGTTGTTCTCATCTTTGTGGGAGGTTTTGGGGGAACTGTGGCAGGGAGAGACCCTGCTTTCTGGGCCAGAACCTGGATCTATGAGCTTAGGGAGCTAGGAAGAGCTTGGCTCAAGGCTCTGGGCTTCTCTGCTGGGCCTCGGAGAACTCTGGAAGGGAAACAACCTCACACACAAGCACCTACGCACATACCAGAACATACATACACACATGCACACATGTATACAGAGCTGAGGGCCCAGTCTAAGAAGGCAGAGTGGGCTGCTGTCTCCTACACTCTCAGCTCTCAGGTCTAAACTAGGGTTTCTTGTACCTGCAGGGATGGGTAGGAAGGACATGGCTTACCCTCGACCCCTGCCCCTTCCAGGTGTCCTTGAACTCCACAGCCTGTTTTAGCTCACAGGGTGGATTTCATCTAGAGCTCACCGGTCATGGATCAGATCACGCCCTGGCTGGTGAGCCTGACGATGGAGTCTAGCTTTGTAAACACCGTGTGCCACCACTTACTGATTCGCTTCTGCTGTCACTCATGCGTTCACTCAGCAGACATTCAGAGGGTGTCATGCCATGCACCATGCTGTGTGCTGGGGGTGCCAAGCCAAAGGGGATGTGTCCTTGTTCCCATGGAGTCCCTGAGCCAGCTGGGCAGGCAGTGCAGCAAGCAGGAGCTGGGGGTGGGGTCAGTGCCAAGCAGTGACCCCTGTTTTAGATGGATTCTGTTCCTTCTCATTGTTCTGAGGATGCAGCTAATTAATCCCATACAGAGATTGTTAGGATGCATGGTCCAGGCACCATCAAGGTCCACATTGATTGGATGCCACTGTATAAGGCTGTGAACTGTCTAGAATACAATTTTCAACTAATCCCATATCATCTATACCTTTTATGTTTCCAGTGAAAGCCTGTTTGTAATATTTATCACAGTATATAACAGGCACTTGTTTCACCCATAGAAAGCCATTTTGATTCTGCAGGAAACTCACTGGCAAAGCAGTAGGTTGTTTGTTGTTTAATGTTTTACTTTTATCTGACAGGCAGATTTACAGAGGGGAAAGACACAAAGATATTCCATTCATTGGTTCACTTCCCATTGGGTCACTTCCGCAAACAGCCAGAGCTGAGCTGATCCAAAGTCAGGAGCCAGGAGCTTCATCCTGGTTGCCCATGAGGGTACAGATCTCCCAAAGCCTTGGGACCTTGCACTCATGTGGGAGGCGTAGAGGAGGCTCCTGGCTTCAGATCGGCTCAGCCTCCAGCTGTTGCAGGCACTTGGGGAGTGAACCAGTGAACGGAAGATCTTTCTCTGTATCTCCTTCTTTCTATAAACCCGCCTTTCCAATAATAAATAAATAAGTATTGGAAGAAAAGGAAGGGAAGGGAGGGGAAGTAGGAAGGAAGGAAGGAAAGAAGGAAAGAAATTAAAGTACTTGAAACATCCTGTTTCTTGCTTCCCAGGCACTTTGGCAGGGAGCTGGATGGGAAGTGGAGCAGCCAGGACTTGACCCAGCACCCACATGGGATGCCTGTGTTGTAAATGATAGCTTAACCTGATGCATCATGATGCCCAACCCCTTTTGTGACATTCTAGAGCACAGCTTTTTTTTGGATTGCATTTTCCTTCGCTCACTCTTCCCATTGTTCTTTTCTACTAGTGAGCACCCTGAAGTGCGCTTGAAAACTGAGTTTAATTCTTGTGCTTACGCCTGATTTGCCTTTTCTCCTTGCATACTGAATCCTTTCTTTATCCTTGCACTTCAGTAGCTAAATTCTGTGCCAGCTTCTCCTGGAGCAAGGCACGGGGAGGATGCTCGGGACCAGCAACTGGGCCATCCTTTTCTAACCAGAAAACATGACGTGCCTTTCACATGCTTCGCCCATGTTTGTTCAACATTTCCCATTTTATTGATGGGAGACACAAGTGAATGGGCTCAACCTTGAGGAGCAGATCAGAAAGGATTTGAAAATTGGATGTATAAATTAGCAGGCGATTAAATAGGCCAGATACAAAGCCTTAGTCTCTAAAGGCTTTCAGAAATAAGCCAGAAGTGTGGGGCTGCACCCTGGTAGAGTTCTCGATCTAGGTCTCCCCCACCCCCAACGAGTGGCCAGAACATGAGTCCTTCAGCCACCACCGGCTGCCTCTCAGGTGCATGAAAGGAACTTGGATGGGAATCGGAGATGGGGCTTCCATAGGAGATGCAGAATCCCAAGCAGTGACTTCAGCTGCCGTGCCCCAGCCCCTACCTCTAAGGCTTTTTAACTTTGCTCAGCAATATTCCATAGCACTCCATATAGAAATCTTACACACATTGTATTAGATTTTCATTTCTTTCTGCTGTTGTAAATGGCAGCCTTAACTGTTTCTGTGCCACCGATTGTTGGCATATGGAAATGTAGCTGATCCTTGATATTCATATACCACCATGTCCTTGCTATACTCCAACATTAATTGTAATATGTTAACATACAGATTCTTTGGTCTATCTGTGATATATAGCACCTGCAAATCGTGACAGTTGCATTTGATCCATTTTGGTCTTTATACTTTTACTTCCTTTCTCAAAAAAGGATTTTTTTTTTCCCCAAAGGCAGAGTTACACAAAACGATGTACTATCCACTGTTTCACTTCCCCCATTGGGCCAGCCCATGACAGGAGCCAGAAGCCTCTTCCGGGTCTCCCACATGGGTGCAGGGGCCCAAGGATGTGGGCCATCCTCCTCTGCTTTCCCAGGCCACAAGCAGAGAAGGAGCTGCGTGGGCAGTGGGGCAACTGGGACTTGAACTGGTGCCCCTATGGGATGTCCCAGTGGCCCTGTGACCTCAGCAGCTGGGCACAACTCTGGTCCCTTTGCATCCCTTTCTGGAGCGCTATCTGGCTCTGCTGCAGACTCAGCAAGATTTCCCCCCTTCCCTTGCAGAGGAGGCCGAGGCACACGTTGACTATGAAGACAACTTCCCGGACGACAGATCTGTGGCATTCAGAGAGCGCGGGTCGGACGCCCGCCCGGAGGCAGAGGAGGACGGGCCTGCGGGAGAGGCCAGTGAAGAGGCGCAGACAGGAGACCGTGGGGTGTCGGTCTCTGCAGGGGCAGAACACCTAGTCCGAGACGAGGCTGCCATGCCAAGCACCGGCTCTCCCCACACCACCGTGGGTAGCAGCGTCCCCACAAACTGGCCGGGACCCCGACTCAGTCAGAAGTACTTGTTCCTGTCTCCTGAGGAGCCGTTCCACAAGCCCAAGGTGGAGAAGGAGGTGGGTGAGGACACCAAGAAGCAATTCCCTGCTGGAGATAACCATAGTGGGATCAAACGGGTTCCAGGTCGCCCTGAAGCCAAGGTGGTCTCTGGCAGCCCTCAAGGCCCCTGGGGACCCCTGGTGGGCGGCAATGACAGCAGGGCGGGCGAGCCAATGGTGAGTAGCAGCGATGGGTCCTGGTTAGATGGCTACCCTGTGACAGATGGAGCCTGGAAGAAAGAGGAGGCTGAGGAGGAGGAGAAAGAGGAAGAGAAGGCGGATGGGTTGGTAAGCCTGGATGACGGTGGCCTCACGACTCCCGCTCAGCCCATTCTGGTGGGGGCCACGCAGGCCTGGAGTATGGCCCCCACACGGAGCAGGGGTGTCACCCCGCCTTCAGCCCTTACCTCTGAAACGCCAGATGTGGAAGCTTTGGCTGTCACCCCCGTGAACACGTCTGAGACTGAGAGTGCCCGCAGCGGGCTTGGCGACACGACCAGGTTCCCGGCAACCATCCCTTGGAGAGTCACCACAGAAAAGTCTCCCACAGCCACTCTACCCTCTGACCTCAACAGCGCCGCCCTGGAGCCCGGGAGGACCACTGCTGCACGGCTGACACATCATCCCCACATCCCCTCCAGCAGCAGAGCAGCCACCCAGCCTCCCAGGGACACCACGGCTCCTGGGGGCCGGGACAGCTTCCCGTACCTACTGTCGGAGGACTTCCTGGGACAGGAGCCTCCGAGGCCGGGTGCAAGCGAGGAGGAGCTCTTGCCAAGCCCGGAGCCGTGCGTGGGGGGCAGGTGTCCCAGCCTGGGGAGAGGCCCCGTGATCGCCACCGTGGTCACCGTCCTGTGCCTGCTGCTGTTTTTGGCGGGAGTGGGGGCCGTGTGCGGCTACCGTAGGTGCCAGCATAAGAGCTCTGTGTACAATTTGAACGGCGGCCAGCGGCCTGCCCGGCACTATCATCAACAGATCGAGATGGAAAAGGTCTAGCCCACCTCCGCAGGGGCTTGTGGGAAGAGAGTGGACGGTGACGCAGCCCAGGTGGGGTGGGGGGACACATCTTCTCTCCCTCAGAGCTTGGCCTGGCAGGGCTAGGAGGTGTTTGACTCACATGGCAGTTTCCTCTACCATCTGCCCTGGAATGGAATGCATTCATCCCAGACTCTTGTGTTTGGCCCCTGATTCCAGTAAGAGCTCAAAAAAAAAAAAAAAAAAATCAAAATCACACCCATGCTTTATCAGACTCATCATCTCCTCCTTTCTTCAGAATAGAGAATTATAACCCCGTGCCACGAAATGGATGAAGTAGGTGTAATAAGAAGAGCAGTGTGTTTAAAACAGAGATTTCTGGTCGCTGTGAGCGGCATCCAGAGAAAGTGGGTTATTTCCTTTTAATGAGATGTTGCCAAGGACAAATGAGCCAAGACCAGAGATACAATTTAGGAGCCTGTTTGTTGAAACTGGAAAGGGTTTAAGGGTGACACCGTGTTATGGGAGGTGGCTATCCATCTGTGAGACAGGCAGTTGTTCTCTGAAAAAAACAAGGTGAGCTGTGTACCAGTGAAGTGTCATTTCCTGTCGGAAGCCGTGGCCTCCTTGTAACTTGACCAGACGGTGCCTGAGAAATGTCTTGGAAGGCTCGCCAGGACTAACAAAAACTCAACCTTTGGTTTCCTCTCTCAGGATTAGCCATCGCTCTGAACTCCAGTGAGAGGGAATGACGTGGGAGGAGACGCATTATGTCGGACGGGGGGCCAGTGACTGAGGATCGAGGACAGCCCCCAACTGGATGGAAAAGCAGAGGAATTAAATCAGACTATGAGATGATGGGCAAGAATTTCATTCTTGAGTATGGAGCTGGGAGCCCTATGGACCCAGTTGACCTTGGCTGTTAAGTAGCACGTTACCCTAAGGATGACCATGGTCTAGTGTGTCCCTCAAACCAGCAAGGGCAGACTGGCCCTACCCAGGATCTTGTTGGAGCGGCAGGCAGGTAGATGTTCAAATTCCCACCCGGGCTCATGAAACAGTCACGCTGGGGCTGCGGCTGGGGCCTGGCTGCTGTGTTTTACCCAGTGCTCCAGGGGACTGCTACCTGCTCTTGTTTGAGAGCCACCAGTTTCTGACACAGCGAGCAGTAGCCTTTGAGGTCAGCCGAACCCCAGGAGACCCTGAAGATGAGCACCTGTGGCCTGTCTCACCTGGCCGTCATCAGGTATTGCTGCTTGTACCTGAGGCAGTCAGAAACCTCCAAACTGCCATCTCCCACATTCTCCCGTGTGTTGGCCCAGAAACTAAACAGGTCCCATTCTGGAACCTTCTTGGAGATAGTTTTGAATGGCAAAAAATGGTGAAGACTATAGATTCCTGCTGAATCGCCCTAGAAGTCTTAAGGGTTTTCAGGCAGTGTGAGTGAGGCCCTGATGTTTTTCTTTTCTTTTTTTTTTTTCAATGGAAAAAATGTTGGTGCTGTTTTACTTAGAAGAGAGGAAAAAAAACTTTCACAATACGTTTTCTACTCTGCCACCTGTTTTTAATACACACTTTGGAAAAATAATAGGCCGAGTGGCTATGAAGATGGGACTGCATATTCCAAGATGTTAGTGCCTGTAACTGGGTCAGCTGAAGGCCTGGTGGGACCAGTTGGAATACTGGTGCGTCGTATGAAGTCCACACACTTGGAACAGAATGTTGTCTACATTTGGCCACAACCCAGCACCACAGACTAAAAGCGAAGGTCTGTAGATATTTATAAATTAGATTCTAATCTATTGCCAGATAACTCTTCTAACTATGTAAAATAACTTTGGCCTCAACATTGGGATTGTGTAACTGTTGTTATGCAATAACCCTGAACACTGAATTTATACCAGTGCAACAAATAGGTGATATGACTACAGGTGTATTAATAAGTTTCTTACAAATTATCACTACCTGGAAGAGTATTATTTTATAGACAAGGACTGTGAAATAAACCCAATACTTCAACTTTTTCAGCCTTTATTGATTGGGTGCCGTCTCAGTGTTATTGAATCTTAGAATTACATGTCGGGGGTGATTAAGATGCTGTAAGCCCAAGTTGCATGTCGTTCTGTTTGTTTTGAGACTGATAAATGCCTAATACTCATGAAAACAGAGGGGAGGTCAAGGGGACCTTTTAACATAAAGCTTCCGAGATATTTTAAATAAATGATTCCCACAAACAGTTGTCCAATGTTATTTTTCAGTCTCTGGATCCTGGGAGTTCCTTGGAAACTCACCTTAGCGGATAGCATTGAGATGCCAGCTGTGTTAACTGGCATGTTACTCCCCACACTTAAGAGTTGGTCTCTGCAAAGGAACTGTGGGTTAAGGAAGAGCTAACATATTGCCTAGGGTTGGGGCTCCAAGACAACCCCATTGCAGGGACCACTCACTTCACTACAACGAAAGGCTCAGATCTTCATGCTCAATGTGTATCCTGCAACGGCAGCTGGGAGCCTGATAGGAATGTGGACTCTAGCCCACCACTGACCTGATGCCTCTGAATGGGCATGGAACAAGATGCCCAGGGCACGGGCATGCACATTGGAGAAGCACCGGGCTAGAGGCCAGACCCCTCCCATATCCCCCACTTCCCATCTCCCAGCTCCTTCCTGCTTCTCCCACACCACCAATTGCACAAGGCTTCACTTTAAGGCATCTGGAGGTGGACATCAATCCACACGTCCCTCACTCCTCCATCCAGGCTCTTCTACTGCATCCCCTGGAACCCTGGAGCTGGCATCGACAGATCCCTGGGGTTCACTGCTAGCTCACGCAGCTGACATGAGAATTCTGCATGCTGTCGATGCCTTGGCTCCTATGTTGGGCTGGTGCCCACTCTTACTGTTTGCCTCCTCCCACTCTCCTCTTTCTCCCTGCTTGCATGGGGCACAGTTGCTATTGAAGCTGCTGCAAGTCTCAGTTGGAGACAAAGTTCTAATGTGTTCCTGGCAAACCCCAGGTCTCCTGCAGACACACCTCTCCCTGGGTCTCCACTGTGCAGCAGGATCGCAGCCAGCTCAGTGAGCAAGACCCAACCCAGCTGCCGGACCTCGGGGGAGGTCCCTGGTGCCTTCTTCCCAATCTGTTAGGTGGAGGTCAGACATTTCAAGAGCCTGAGAAAGCAGACAGGGCCACAGGCCTTCTAGGATCACTGGATGCAAGCGAAGAAAACAGAGAATAAGCAAAATATGTTGCACAATATGATTTGTTTTTCAAGATTAAAAAAAAACCTACTGGTTTCAACTTTCTTTCTGAATTCTTACTTCCTACTACGGGAGCAAGGTTTCACACCCTGCCCTTAACCCAAGGTGGGGAGAGGAAGAAAAAGACATCTGTGACAGTGTATGTAGTCTGGGACCTTTGGACTGCCACAGCAGGGTGGGAGTTCCAACTGTGGGATCCATCTTGAATCTGTCTGCCACACTGCTTGACTCCTTCCACGTCTTGTAAAATGAAGTATCTCACCAACCAGTACCAGGAGGCAGCTGAAGTCAGGCATCTGTGGGGAGACAGCATCAAGTACTGGGACACAGTCACACACCTGCTCGCTAAAGATAGACAACCACGCTCCTCACCACCATGCTCAGGGCTGAGCAGGTCCAGGCGAAGCCGGGCTGCCGTGGGGTCCTCTCTTTCAGAGATGCCACGGGCACAGGCCTGGGGAACCACCCTGTCCCAAGCTGCAGGGCACAGGAAGTCCCAGAGCATAAAACCCTTGAGTGAGGCGCGCTCTGGGTTCCTTCGTTCGGCCCACCCCACTCCGCTCCCTTGTACATAGTTGAAACTCTCACACTAGGTCATTCAAGCCTGGAACCACCAGAAAAAAAAGAATCTGCTGTTTGCGGGATGGCAGACGATCAAGAGCTCAGACAGCTGCGATGAAGGATTCGTTGTGGCTTTTTCTCAGGGCCTCGCTACCAACGGTGTTGCAAGTCCATGTTCAAACACTATGAACCGAGAATGTTTTCCCTGGCTCCCATCCACCTTCCCTCCACAGTTCCAGTATTGAATCTTCTTTAAAAAAGGATAAAACTGAAGTAGCTTTGGTTTACAGTTCACATTTAAAACTCAACCTTATTTCCATAAAGGCTGGCAGAAGCAGGCCCCTGTCGACTCCCCCAGCAGTCATAACACTTGCTGTTGACAATCTAACAAATCATTTTCTGTTTGCCACAGAGCTGGGTTCACTATGATTTCTGTGCTCAAACTCTCCCCTAATCAGAACTCCTAAAAGCATATTTCCTCCCTCAACGCAGCCTTTGTGGTCCATGTTCCCTATGGTATGTGGTGGCGGGGGGAGCTGAGAGCACAGGGCAGGTTTGTGGCAGCCCCCAAACTCAGGAGGATGTGTGTACGTTCCAAATGTCGGCCTGGGCTGCAAGAATCCACTCATTCCTGCGCTGTGCCTGTGTGAAGCAGAGCAATAGCCGCAAGGCACAGTGGATGCCCTGAGCTTGGGTTGCCTTCGTGGCAGTGGAGTGACTGGACGGATGCCCCGTCACGGTGGGCAGCCTCTCTGGCACCTGTTTGAGGAAAACAAGCAGTGTGGCTACTGCTGGCTCCACGGACAGAGAGACGACTTATTAGAGTGGGTCCGGAAACTCCCACGAAGCTGACAAATGCACTGGCTGTTGCAAGACAGGCCAGACTGACGCTGAAGCTCCAGGGTAAGAATCCAGGAAATTGCTCGGCTCTTCCGAGAAACACGCTCAGGGCAAGGTTGGGCTGGGCGTGGGCTCGCGTGGAGGTTTGTGCGGTGGGTTTTCAGGGATAACCCAACCCTCTCTGTTTGAAAGCTGCTTTGGTTTCCTTTGGAATCAAAATGCAGTGACTGAGCTCCCCAGACAGCTTTTGATAAGTGCTGCCAAGCCTGGCTGTAGCATCCCAGGGTCTCTTCCTGTGGGACATAGCTGGGCCAGTGTATGTCCTGGCTGCTCCACTTCTGATCCATTGCCCTGCTAATGGCCTGGGAAGGCATTGAATCCCAGCATCTGTGCAGGAGACAAAGAAGCAGCTCCTGGCTTAGGATGAGTTCCGTTCAGGCCACTGTGGCCATCTGGGGAGTGAACCAGTGGATGGAAGATCTCCCTGCCTCTCTTTCTCTCTGGAAAATCTGCCTTTCCAATAAATAAATAAATATTTAAGAAAAGAAAAGAAAAAAAAAAGTAGCCAGCGTTTCATGGACAAAGGTTATTTCCAACAGCAGGATACCATGGAAAAACTGACATATCTGTTGGGGCCAGAGGATGTCCTGGCTGGAAGGCTGCCTGGATACAGGGACACAGGGTACCTCATCCATAACAATACTGACTTCTCAGCCAAGCAGCCCTCTGGGGACAACGGCAATGAAACCCAGATGAGGCAGGCCATTGACCTGGGGCGCGTCTCTCCGGAGAAACCAGTGTAGGGAAAGAGGGGAGAGCAGGAGAGAAGAGGAACAGAAGGCTAATGTGTCTGGGAATCACAGGACACCTGCAAAGTGTTGAATTAAAGCGATCCCCATGACACAAAGATGCCCACCCCCAACTCTGCCCCTTGTTCATTCTTTTCCAAGCCACCATGGGAGAGAGTTGTGTCTCCTAGCTGTGTCTCCATCCCTAGCAGGCCCCATCCAGACACGTGGCTTTTGTAGAGGGAAATGGGGTGAAGCAAGTAAGCGTGCTCGGCTTCCAGAATGCCACACCACATCCTCCAGGTCTTCTCCAGCCTCTGGGACAGCTCCAGCTCTGTCTCTTGGGCTGACTTCTCTCTGCCCAGGAAAAGCAGGGTTGGCCTCAGCTCCTTCTGGGACTTCTCAGCACAGGCCAGCGGCCCCAGCCTGCCTCCCAGCTCCAGGCCACTGGCAAGCTGAGAACTCGGCAGTGGGATCAGGTGCGCCTACCACCCTGCACTTCAGGGCCAGGGCCCTCGTGCTCTCCTAACACCATGCACCTGCTCCTCCATGGCCTGTAGCATCTTTATTGCAGAAGAGCCTTCAATGGGCCACTTGCCTTCAAAGGCACTCCCCCAGGAACTGGCAGAGGCTTACCAGAGCTTTCTCCTGAGAGCACCCCAACAGGTATCTCCCACCCTGAACTCAAACCCCTGTGTGTCAGGCCCTACTGGGGACCTAGCCCTACTCAGCTCGCCCCAATTTACTTAACAACTGGTGACATCCACCCCAACGGCAGACAGCTGCACTTGCACCAAATTCCTTCCTTCCTTCCCCACGCATTCCACCTTGCAGGCCAAAAACCCCGAGGTCTTCCTCAACTCCCCTGGCAGTACATGTCACCTGTCAGCAAATCCCTCAGGCGCTCTGCTTCAACAGTAAATCAAGCGTGGACAGCTCTGCCCTACTCTCTGCCACAGTTCACATCCAAGGCTGGGGCCTCACAACAGCTTCTAGAAGGCTGTCTCCCACTTCCACCCTTGCTGACTCTCGGCTTCTGCACACAATGGCAGGTGGCATGACCCCTGGACAAGGTCAGCTGCGAAGGCACATCTCTGCTCGCTCATCCAGCTGGCCCACACTGGCCTCTCTCTCTTGCATCACCTCCCTCTTTCCCTCCTCCCATTCGCTCCCCCATGTTGGCTTATCCTAACTGCCCCTTGGCCAGGTAGAACCAGGGCTCCCTCCAGGGCGTGGCATGCCTGGTTCGTCTCTCCTGACACCTGCTATTCCTCTGTGGTCTCGGCAGCCTCATCTCCAGGACTGCTCACCCCTTCCCTGCCTTATCTTCCTCCATAGCTTTGACCACCATTCAAACTCCTGTACAGGAGAGGATTTCAACAAGTGTATGGGAAAAAGCAATTAAAAGTATGAGACTATTCGGATGCTCCAATTTTTTTCTTTTGGTACAAAAACTTTCAGAAACATAGAAAATACATATTATTAAAAAAAACTATGAAGGGATTTAAAAATTTCTTTTGCACCATAATAAACTTAGCTTTTTTTCTTTTATAATAAAACGGGGGTACTTATATACTTATGACTAAAATTGGAAGAGCAGAGAGGCCAAAATAGGTTGGCACAATTACCATTTTTTGGGTTTCTTTTTCTTATTTAAGAAATTATAATACTGATTTTCTTGGTAGGGAAGAGACAGGGTAGGACTGTCCCTCCAGCCAAAGTGGGGAAGACAGGTGGGAAGACAGGAAGATGACAAAAAAGGAAGACAGGTTTGAAGATGGGGAGATGGGAAGACAGGTGCAAACACGGGCTCTCCCGGTTCCACATGGTAAGAGTGATGGGTCTTCCCTTTCACCTTGTAAAGGGAAGGCTCTGAGGTATCGACCACCCGGGCTACTGGGAAGAGAGGATGAAGAATCTGTGTGTCCTGCCTGCCGCTGGGGACTCAGCTGGTCTCCTCCAGTGCCAAGAGGTCATCCACGTACTCCACGACTTCTCCCTGGAAGAGAAAACAGACACCTCCATCAGGTGGGCCACCTGACTTCCACAGAGCTGGGGAGTGAAAACAGGGAGCCCCTGCCAGATGCTGGCCTGGGATGAAAGGCAGCGTTGTGTCTGCTGGTCTGGAGCCCCCCAGGAGGGGACCTGGCTTCCGTGGCAGGTGGGCTTGGTGGCATGTGTTCTATGACACCCCCTCACCCCCGTTCCCCATAGCAGGTAGCTTGCATGAAACAGACAGTTCCGCCAACTTCCGTGAGAAGCTGCTAGGGCACCCGCCTCTGGGGTCCTCTCCCCAACCCCCTCCTCTTCTTTCAGCAACAATGCTCCAGGTGAATGTGTTTTATCAGCTTCCTCCCTACACCAATGACAAGACCAGGGCCCGGGATGATTTTTCTTGCCTGGAGTCCAGGATACAGAAGGTGCCAAATAAATGTGTTAGAGGACCAAGGATTGAGGTGCTGCTGGAGTGAATGACAGGATGGCCTCCTGGGAGAACAGCAAGCTATGTCCATTGCTGTCCATTCCTCCACTGCTCCCTGCAGCAGCCCGGCAACCTCCCCCTTTCCGTGCACAACACATCCTTCAACCACTCCCAGTGACGGCTCTTCCATGGCATGGCATCAAATGATTCTACAACCAGTTGTACCTTATCATGAAGGAACACACTGAGAGAGAGTGATTAGAAATGTCAATCCCAGAGAAGGAGAACATGTTTACAGCAAGCACGTAAGCAATTAAAACAAAGTAGAAATGGAGCTGGCATTCTGGTATAGCAATCTAAGCCATAGACTGACGCCCCAGCATCCCAAATGGGTGACAGTTCAATTCCCATCTGCTCTACTTCTAATCCAGCTTCCTGCTGGTGCAAATGGGAAAGCAGTGGAGAATGGCCCAGTCCTTGGGCTCCTGCACCCACGTGGAAGACCCAGAAGAAAGTGCCTGGTTCCTCATTTTGGCCTGGACCAACCCTTGCCACGGTGCCCTTCTGGAGAGCTGGCATGCAAAAGCAGGTTAAGCCTGTTTGCAATAGCATCAGCATCAATCCCCAGCTGCTAATGCACCTGGGAAGGCAGTAGAAGAGGGCCCTGCCACCCAAGTGAGAGACCAACAAGGACTTTCTGGTTCCTGGCTTCACCCAGACCTGGCTGTTGCAGCCAACTGGGGTGGAAACAGTGGAAAGAAGATCCTTCTTTCTTTCTGTGTGTGTGTGTGTGTCTCCCACTGTCTGTCACTCTGTCTTTCAATACATAATACGTTTCTTTTAAAATTTCTTTAAAAAAATAAAGATAGTTGGTGAACAGGTATGGCATAGCAAGTTGATTGGTAAACCTGCATCCCATTTTAGACTGCCTGAGATCAAGTCCTGCCTGGCATCCTGTTAGTGCCTGGAAGGCAACACCTGATGGCTCAAGTACTTGGGTCCATGCCACCCACATGGGAGACCCTGATGGAGTTCTCCAGGATCCTGGCTTTAGCTTGGTCCAATCCTACCAGTTGGGCCCATCAAACCAGAGGACAGAAGATAGCTCTCTCTTCCTCTCTTCCTCCACCCATTCCTCCTCCCCCATCAGATGTACAGAGAGGAGGAGAGACAGTGAGGAAGATCTTCCGTACGCTGATCCATTCCCCACGCAGCCGCACCGGCCAGGGCTGACCCAATCTGAAACCAGGAACTCAAGAGCTTCCTTTGGGTCTCCCAGCCATGTGGGAGACCCAAGTGGATTTCCAGGTTCTTGGCTTCTGACTGGCCGAGCCTTTGCCACTGCAAGTCATTGGGGGGAGTGAATGGACAAATGAAAAAAAAATCCCTCTGTGTGCAACTACGACTTGCAAATCAATCAGTCAATCAACAGGTGGGTTGGTGCCAGCTGTGGAGGCTGGCAGCGCTACTCTGTGCACGTTTCTGCCACTGGGAAATGAGGCCTCTTCGGGCAGTGTCCTAGAAGCTATCTTCCTCCAGGCTGCCATTGTGACTCTCATCAGGAAACCTTCAGCCAATGTTGTTCTCGAGGTTCCCTCCTGGTTCTCACATCAGGGATGACTCGGCCCGCCCCGATTTAAGCCAGACACGTGCTGTGCGGGCAGACATACCTCATCATCGTCCATGATGTGCTCCTTGGCAAAGCCATACAGCTCCTTCTGTAGTGTCGTCACGTTGAAGAACTGAACCGCTTCCTGTTCAGGCACAAGCAGAGCACAGCATCACGGGTGGGTGTGGGATGGGGTGGGACAGGAGCTGTGGGAGTACTGGATTTCCTTCTGGGGTGATGAAAATGTTTAAACAATAGTAATGGTCGCACAACCCTATGACTATACTAACTACCGCTGAATTGTAGCCTTAAAAAATTCAGTTCTACAATCAGTGAATGTTGTCTCAGTTTAAGAAAAAAAAAAAAAAACAAATGATGGCTAATCCTAAGTGAATGAGAGCGTGAGCAAGAGAATTTGCGCCATCAATGGAGATAAGATGGTGATGGAAGATATACCAGGAGTCTTCAGAAGTTCAAAAATGGAGGACCAGCAAGCACAGTGACATAGCAAGCTAATCCTCTATGGCGCCGGAATCACATATGGGTACCAGTTCAAGTCCTGGCTGATCCACATCTGATCCAGCTCCACACTAATGGCCAGGGAAAGCAGTGGAAGGTGGCACAAGTTCTTGAACATCTGCAGCCATGTGAGAGACTCAGAAAAAAGCTTCAGGGCTTCTAGCTTCAGATCAGATCAGGTCTGGCCATTACAGCTACTAGGGAAATGAAGCAGCAGATGGAAGACTTCTCTCTCTCTCTTACACACACTCTCTCTCTGCCATTCTGACGTTCAAACAACATAAATAAATCATTTTGAAAAGTGCAAATTTTATATTTGGAAAAAGCTGTGTGTGGATTTCAAATGATTTTGTACAAAAAATAAACACCTTTGAATTCTATGTTCCATGACCTTTACCAAATAGCCCTGTGTTATGACAAACCCAGAATAGCATGCACACATTCCAAAGAAAACACAAGCCAAGAGAGCTATGACCATGTTATGGTTTACATAATAGTGTGGGTGTCCCCTTACAGGTCATGTCCCTAGAGTCTGATGTGAGTGGTTCGTAGATGAAGGGTGGAGATTTGATTTAATCATGGTGTCTAGGAGCCGGGGCTAGTCCCTGGGCATGCCCCGGAAGCTGACTTGAGCCTAGCTACTCTTTCTCTTCCTGCAGGCTCATCACTGGAACCTTCCTCTATATGAAACCCACCACCTGCCATTGCATGAGATACCTGACTCTGGGTCACCATGTCTGGAATTGTGAATCTCCTTTCTTCCCTAAATGGCTCCTCTCGGTGGGTCAGTTAAAAGGAACAAAAAGCTGATTTGCACCAATCAGAAGAGCTCTTTTGAGGAGCTGGTGCCGTGGTATAGCACATAAAGCTCCTTCCTGAGGTGCCAGCCCCCCATGTGGGCGCCAGTTACTCTTGTCTGCCCTATCTCTGATCCAGCTCCCTGTTAACACACCAGGATATCAGAAAGTTGGCCCAAGTGCTTGGGCCTCTGCACCTACATAGGAAACCTGTAAGAAGCTCCTGGCTCCTGGCTTTGGCTCAGCTCAGCTCTGACTGATATGGCCATTTGGAGAGTGAACCAAAGATGGAAGATTTCTCTCCATCTTTCTCTGTAACTCTTTCAAATAAATCAATCTTTTAAAAAAAGTTCTTCTGAAAATCATGTTTTTAGTAGAGTTCCCCAACATTACATGTAAACCAAGGAGCTTGTTAACCAAGGGGTTCAATAGTGCAACATGCAAGTCTACCACGGAGGTGTTAAAAAAAACTAAAAAGTAGGGGCTCAGTACGGTAGCCTAGTGGTTAAAGTTCTCATCTTGCATGCACCAGGATCCCATACAGGTGCCAATTTGTGTCCCAGCTGCTTCACTTTCTAGCCAGGTCCCTGCTTGTGGCCTGGGAAAACGGTCAAGGACGGCCCAAAGCCTTGGGACCCCATACATGCATTGGAGACCCAAGTGCTTGAGCTCTTGGCAGCCATGCAGGAGACCCCAGGGGAGCTCCAGGTTCCTGGCTTCAATCCAGTCCAACTTGAGCAGTGAAGCTTTTGGGGCAGTGAATTAATGGATAGAACATTCTTTTTCTCTGTGTGTAATCACCCTGCATTTCATATAAATACATCAATATTTAAAAAAGAGAGAGAGAGAAACTGAATAGGCTTAAGAGCTGATGGATGGGGCCCAATACAATGGCTCAACTGGCTAATCTTCATCCTTATGTATGGAGCCTGGAACCCAGTACTTAAAGGCAGGGACCCAGGACTTGAACCATCACCTGCCTGCTTTGCCTCACAAGGTACATATTAGCAGAAAGCTGGAACAGACACGGAAGCTGGGACTGGGATGCAGCTTTCTTGGCTGTGCCAAAGGCCCAGGCCAATCCTTTCCCTCCAGACATGAAGTGCTCTCTGGAAGTTGAGTATGAGGGTGGGAAAGGTCAGGCATGGCCGTGTTCACTCACCTGTCTGGGCTGGAAGTGCTCGTCCGAGAGGCCCCACTTGTCCCTGTGGTACTGGTAATACACTAGGTTTTGTTGCATGACACTGTCGTGCTTGTCAAAGAGCAGGTAGCTGACTGCACACGGGGCAGCATTCTTCAGGTCATTCACTGGGGGGATGGGAACCAAGGGGGCAGGCAATCAGCAAAGGCAGGCCCTGTGAGACCCTCCCAGGCCTGCTTCCCTCAGCATCCCACCACAAGGGGTCACCAACAGGCCTGTCCCCAACAGTCCTGCCTTTGGAAAGCCTGTACCAGAATCGGTCCCCATGGGCAAGTCACTGACAACAGCCTCAGTGACAGTGCCAAGGTCAGTTTTGAGACATGGAAGCTCCTGGCTAGGCAGTGGCCTTTCAGAAACACTTGCGTATCACCTCCAGTTCTGGGAACCAAGGCTGGTCCCAGAGGAAACCAGCTCTGGGCCAAAGAGAGAAAATGGATGTGAGGCTTATCAAACAGGATCACAATCTTCTACAGGTGGACCCTCCTACAGCCAACTGGTCAACCCTAAGACCAGGGCACCGCTTCAAGTTGGCAAAAACTTGAAGTGTCACTTGGTCCTGCCACCTGGGCAGTGGGGGGTGGTTGGAGGGTGCCCATGCCAGCCTCCTTTCTTGGCAGAGTGCCTTCAGCTCAGGGTTTCCACAGGCCTTGGTTTGTCTCAGAGGTAGGAAGGAAACAGCTAAGAGGAGAGGCGATAAGACGCAATACCCTGAATATTTATTTGTTCTGGTACCTTACATTCAAACTTCCAACACTACGTTAGCCAAACTCTGGTTGGCTAGTGTAACCAGGAGCTGGGGCATGAATAAACTGTCACCCAGTGGTTGTCTCCCATCGTGACACCTTTTAAGACCAGAAAACCTTCTAGTCAGTCACATGATGGCAAATGAGCTTCAGCACATGGAACACCAGCCCTGAAGAACTGCACGGCTGCAGACAAGGTAGAGAGTTCAGAAGAGAGGAGACTTTGAGAAGGCACTTTGGCTCATCCTGTGCACCTGTCACCCCAGGTAGCACAGGCAAGGCTGGAGGTTGGGGCCCCACTCGGGCCACAGTTCCTGAGAGTCATAGTGCATGAGAGTCTCAAAGGACCAGGGAATCGCCAGGGTCCAGATATGCTGGCAACAATTCCCAATTCCAAGCTCAGAGGACTGGAAGATCTTATGGCTTATATATATAAAATATATATAAGTCTATATATATATATATATATATTTAAGTATTTAACATGCATGCATATTTATATGTATATATGTATATGTACACACATACATGTACAAACACATGTATATATTCCATGTCTTTAGCCTACAGCAGATGGCTGGGGCTGATGTGATGGCTCTAATGGCTAATCCATTGTTTGCAAGTGGTGGCATCCCTGATAGGCACTGGTTCATGACCCAGCTGCTCCACTTTCCATCCAGCTCCCTGCCTGTGGCCTGGGAAAGCAGCGGAGGGTGGCCCAAAGCCTTGGAACCCTGCACCCATGTGGGAGACCTGAAAAGAATCTCCCAGATCCTGGCTTTGAATCAGCTCAGCTCCAACCACTGTGGCCATTTGAGGAATGAACCAGCAGATGGAAGATCTTTTACTCTATGTCTCCTCTGAAAATCTGCCTTTCCAATAAAAATAATAAATCTTAAAAAAAAAAAAAAAGGAATAAGGTAGGTGGCAGCTACAGGAAAAGGGGACCCAGCAAGGAATAGAAGTATCACAGTGGGGAAAGGAGGGTGACAGGGTGACAGAGCCAAGGTCACCTCTCACTTTGCCCAAGGTATCTCTGATATGGGCAGGCCACCCCTGGGTGTGAACAGTGACCCAGCCCATCTATGCTGGCCGGGTCACCTGCCATCTGGGGCCCTGGCACTTCATGGGAGTGGAATGGCGCCTGCTGCACCTGTGCCTAGCAGCCCTCCTGAAAGACCCACCCACCTACGGCTCCTGCCAGGGGCCCTGTGCACTGTCAGTTATACAGGCAAAGGAGGGCTGGAAGAGGCAGGTGCAATAGAGGAGGCAAGGCCATGGAAAGGGAGAAGGAAACAAGCATTGACGCAGCCATACTTGGCCCTGTGCTGGAACCCTATACTCTTCATGTCTCCGAGCTCAGCTCATGAAGCCTCTCGATGCTGGGGATAATCCCATCACTGGACACATGTGGGGAAACTGAGGCACAAAGCAGTACCCAATAGTATTGGTGGGACTGCCTGGGCAGCAGGAAGTCTGGCCCAGAATCCCCAGGCCATGTTGCCTTTTCATGCATGAGGCTGTTTGCACGACCTTGAACTCAACAGCCAGTGGTGAGAAAAGCCAAGTCTTATAAGGATTAACCCCCATGATCTCCAGGCTCACAGAGGATTACTTACACTTATAATAAGCAAACTGCAAATAATGATACATGGTGGCCACAAACTTCTCCACTGGGTAGCCTCCAATCACCGGGGTGAGGTTCTCTTCACACTGTATCTTACATTCCAGAACTTCTATATAATGATCTGAAATACACACACACACGTTTTCAAAACAATGCATCCATTGCTTCCTTAATACACAACTTCCACCTCCTGCCTAAATGATAAAGGTGAAAGAAAAACACCCATAACATGTAGGACAATGGACTGAAATATTTAACAAAGTACGTTCAAATGAGTAAGAAAGGGCGCCAGCATTGTGGCACAGTGAGGAAAACCACCATCTGCAATGCTGACATAACTATGGGTGCCAGTTCAAGTCCCAGCTGCACCACTTCCAATCCAGCTCCCTGCTAATGTGTCTGGGAAAGCAGCAGAAAATTGTCCAAGCCATTGGTCCACTTCCCCCACGAGGGGGAACCCAAAGAAGCTTCAGGCTCCTGGCTTCAGACCAGCCCTGCTGGTTGCAGACATCTGGGGAGTGAACCCAGTAGATGCAAGAGTTTTCTTTCTCTCTCTCTCTCTCTCTCTCTCTCTCTCTCTCTCTCTTTCTCTGTAACTCTGCCTTTCAAATAAATAAACAAATCTTTAAAAATTAAAATAAATCCATAAGAAAAACACACAACACTGTCATGAGATGCTTTCCTTCTTCTGTAATTAAGAACTATAATCATCCCTAAAATTATTTACATTGTCAAACTGGCAAACTTTGACAGCACCCAGTTAGAGAATGGTGAAACGCATGTTGTCACTGGTGGAAGCAAACCAAAAACAAATGTTTCGGAGAACAATTGGGCAAAACGTACCTAAACACACACATCCTCTGACCCAGCCCCTGTACTTCTGGGAATTTGTCTTTAGGCGCAGACATATACAAACCCTGTTGAACAGTACATAAACTGGAGGGTGACATAAATGCCAAGCACCAGGATGATGGTTAATAAATGACAGTACATACACAAAAGAGACTAAGGTGAATTGTCCAAGTGTCTGGGTCCATTCCAACTCCCAGCCCACGTGCAGCCCTGGCAGGCAGGGGCAGGTAACTCAAATGTTTGTGTTCCTACCACCCATCAAAGAGACACACCAGCTTGAATCCCTAACTCTCGGCTTTGGCCTGGCCTGCATCCAACTACTCAGGCATTGAGAAGTGAGCCAGCATCTGCTCTCAGATTCCCAATCTCTCTGTGTCTTTCTCTCTGCTCTCTGTCAAATAAATGAACGGAATGTATATAAGAAAAAATTTCAAAGTCTGTTTTATTTATTTGAAAGGCAGAATTACAGAGAGGAAGAGAAAGAGAGAGATTTCCCATCCACTGGTTCTCTCTCTAAATGATCACAATGGCCAGGGCTGGGCCAGGCTGAAGCCAGGAGCAAGGAGTGTCTTCCATGTCTCCCATGTAGGTGCAGAGGCCCAAGGCTTCGAGTCATCTTCCACTGCTTCCAATACATTAGCAGGATACTGGATCATTAGTCAAGCAGCTATGACTCAAACTAGTGCCCCTATGAGATGCTGGCATTGTAGGTAGCAGCTTTATTGACTACAGCACAGTGCAGTCCCATAAAACATTTTTTTTTAAATGAGAGTACTATGGGGCCTGGGGAAGTCGCCTAGTGATTAAAGCCCTTGCTTTGCATGCTCTAAGATTCCATATGGACATTAGTTCGGGTCCTGGCTGCTCACCTTCCAGCTCCTTGCATGTGGCCTGGGAGAGCAGTGGAGGATGGCCCAGTCTTGGGACCCTGTACCCACGTGGGAGATCTGGAAGAAGCTCCTGGCTCCTGGCTTTGGATAGACTCAGCTCTGGCCGTTGTGGCCATCTGGGAAGTGAACCAGCAGATGAAAGATCTTTCTGTCTCTCCTTCTCTCTGTAAATCTGACTTTCCTACAAAAAATAAATCTTAAAAAAAAAAAAAAGGAAAAGAGCTTTCAACTTTTCACTTGGAAGAAATATTTCACAGCTTCTCTTTGGCATATCTGAACTGCCAACATCATACATGCTTAGCTTTGGGGCCATTATGAAGTAAAATAATGGATGTTTGAATACAAACAATGCTATTAAGTGACCAACACGCAGTGGTGTATAGCGTGTGGATGCCCTGGGCAGAGAGGTGACTCACAGCTTGGACCACAGAGTTGAGATTTAACTCACTTCTCACAGAACATATGTGGGTCCCTGTCAGCCACGTGGGAGATCTGGATGCAGCTCCAGCTACTGGCTTTGACCTGGCCCCAGTCCTGGCTGTTGTAGGCATTTGGGGAGAGAACCAATGGATGGAAGATCTGTGTGTAAGAGTGGGTATAGCAGCCCAAGGTTCTGGGTCATCTTCTGCTGCTTTCCCAGACCATAAGTAAGGAGATGAAGCTGTCCCTGGAACAAGTCATATGGAATGCCAGGGCACCAGCCCCATGATTATAACTTAGTTTCTTTCACCATGGTGGGGGGTGGGAGGGTGAGGGGGGGTATCATGGAGTATCCCTCTGCCCTCCAATTTTTTTTATACATGTTTGAAATGTTCCATAACAAAAGTTGTTATTCAGAATAAAATTATTTGTAGAAAAAGAAATTCATGAACAACAACAACAACAATAAAAGTGACTCAAGGAAAACAAATCCCGTATTCAGAACTTCAAAAGGGATGTGACACTACATTATGTCCAAGTGTCTTTTTTTTTTTTTTAAGATTTACTTATTTATTTATTGGAAAGTCAGATATACAGAGAGCGAAGGAGAGACAGAGGGGAAAATCTTCCATCCAATGATTCACTCCCCAAGTGAGCGTAACGGCCAATGCTATGCTGATCCGAAGCCAGGATCCAGGAACTTCTTCTGGATATCCCACACGGGTGCAGGGTCCCAAAGCTTAGGGCCGTCCTCAACTGCTTTCCCAGGCCACAAGCAGGGAGCTGGATGGGAAGTGGAGCTGCCGGGATTAGAACCAGCGCCCATATGGGATCAAGGCGCGTGCAAGGCGAGGACTTTAGCCGCTAGGCCACACCGCCGGGCCCCTAAGTGTCTTTTTAAAAGATATGTATTTATTGCATTTATTTGAAGGGCCCCAAATACTTGGGATATCTTCAGCTGCTTTCCCAGGTGTATTAGCAGGAAGCCGGCCTACCATGCCATATCTCCCTCATTGCATGGGGTAACCCACATATATTTACAGAGAAATGGATGTTCTCTTCTTTTAAATAAATGCTGTGATGTAGCAGGTTAGGCTGCAGCCTGCCATCCTGGCGTCCCATATGGCTGCTGGTTTGAGTCCTGGCAGCTCCACTTCCAATCCAGCTCCCTGCCGATGCGTCTGGGAAGGCAGCAGTAAAAGACAGCCCAACTACTTGGGCACGTGCATCCACGTGGGAGATCCAAAGAAGCTTCTGGCTCCTGGTTTGGTCTGGCCCAACTCCAGCTGCTGTGGCCCCTTTGGAAAGAACTAGCAGATGGAAATGTTTTTCTACCTCTGTAAGTCTGCCTTGCAGATACACACATCTTTATGAACAAACAAACAAACAAACAAACGAGCAAATAAATGTCATTTACTTGTGTATACTCTACATACTCCCCGGCTTTTACTTTTATCTCTGCTGGGGATAAGAACCTGGAATGAGCATTAAGACCCTTATTTCCAGAACATTAGGGATGGATCGGTGTCCCCAAAACACTTTCAGGAAATCCTTGGCCACTGCCAATTTCCTGGGGTGACACTGCCCATGAATAGAAACCAAGGGATAGCTGGGCTACCTATGGGTGCTGTTTTTGGTTTTCCTTCTTTTTCTTTCCTTTTCCCCGTGTTTTTAGATAAGGTACTCATATTATCTTCCTAAGCAGGAGATTTCAAAACATCACCACTACTCTCCTTCTACCTGTGCATATTCCAGGAATGTCCTAGGTCAGCCGGCAATGAAGCAACGTCGGTGAAGCCCCCTCCTCTTCTGGAGCCCGCATTCCACATGGATGCCTGGATCAAATCCCAGATGCTTCACTTCCCATCTAGCTCCCTGCGAATGTCCCTGGGAAAGCAACGGAAGATGGCCCAAGTGCCTGGGCCCCGGTACCCACACAGGAGACCAAGAAGAAGCACTAGCTAGCTGACTATAGAGCAGCCCAACTCTGGCTGTTACAACCATGTGGAGAGTGAACCTCTCTCTGTAAGCCTGCCTTTCAAAAAATGTTATAAATCTTTAAAAAAAAACCTAACTAAATAAAGAGAATATCCTATGATTGAAGTTTTCTGGGGTCCACACAGCCCAGAGGCCCAATATTTTCCCCAAAGCCTGCGGAGTATCTGGGACTGAGCACGGCTGACCCTGCTGTTACACAGGGGATGATGGTACAGCATGGTCCGCAGGCCAGGGCTGGAGCATTCTCTCAGCTCCTTTGTCCAAAGCTCCTGCCAGGTCCAAGGCTAATCTACATAGGCTTCGCTTTCAGGTCACTGGTGGATATTCAATCCAGGCACCTGAGAAGACATGTAGACAGAGAGGTGGCACTTCGGGCAGACACTATCAGCTAGGGTAGCTGTGTTCTTGTGTGCCAACACACGCCCCCCCCCCACCACCAACCTGCTATGGAGAGGTAGAAGTCCTTGAAGTCTATGATCTCCCTGGAGCCCTCGCAGGCCGCAAGGCACTCATAGAAGGCTTTGAAGAAGTCAGGCAGGGCCAGCTCCATGTCCGTGATGGACGTCCTCCAGTTCTCGCCATTGTACGCCCGCACGGCGCGGATGAACAGGCTCTGGAAAGCAAGGAGAAGCTGCTGACGCCGGCACCCACGCACCAAGAGCGACGACCGTCAGGTCCTCTTGCAAGGAAGTGAGACCCCCACAAAGCTCTGTGCTCCCCAGTGCTGAAGAAGCCTCATTTTAGGGGCAGGCATTTTATGCAGTGAGTAAGCGGTGCCGGCATTCCCTATCGGGAGCACCGATCCCGAGTCCTGGCCTCTCTGCTTTTGATCCAGCTCCCTGCTCATGCGCCTGGGATCCAAGCAGAAGGTGGTGTGAATGCTTGAGCCACCACCACCCACACAGAGACCACAGCAACTTTCAGGTTCCTGACTTCAATCTTGCTGTCGAGGATATTTAGGGAGTGAGTCAGTAGATTAAAGATCTCTCTCATTCCTCTTTATAACTCCAGTTTGGTTTTTTTGTTTGTTTTTTAAAGACACCACTTGGGGGCCCGGCGCGGTGGCGCAAGTGGTTAAAGGTCCTCGCCTTGCACGCCCGGGATCCCATATAGGCGCCGGTTCTAATCCCAGCAGCCCCGCTTCCCTTCCAGCTCCCTGCCTGTGGCCTGGGAAAGCAGTCGAGGACGGCCCAAAGCCTTGGGACCCTGCACCCGCGTGGGAGACCCGGAAGAGGCTCCTGGCTTCGGATCGGCATAGTATCGGCCCGTTGCGCTCACTTGGGGAGTGAATCATCAGACGGAAGATTTTCCTCTCTGTCTCTCCTCTCTGTATATCCGCCTTTCCAATGAAAAAATAATAAAAATAAATCTTTAAAAAAAAGACACCACTTGGGATGCCCACATCTTTTATTACAGTGGTTTCAAGTCCCAGCTCCACTTACAATTTAACATCCTGCTGATGGGCACCCTGGGATGCAACAAATGCTGGTTAAGGATTTGGGTCTGTGCCCGTTGCCCATGTGGGAGAGACTCAGGTTATATCTCAGGGCTGCTGCCTGCCCTTGGCCTGGCCCAGCTCCTGCTGTAGCAGCAAATGGGGAGTGAAACAGCTGATGGAACATCTCTCTCCAGCTGTCTGTTTCTGTCCCTCTTTCAAATAAAAATTTAGAAAATGAAGCCACATTGACTTCAAACAAGAACTCAATTAACGGCTTTCTTTTTTTAATTATTTAATTTATTTTTATTTGAAAGGTATATTTACAGAGAGAAGGAGGGACACAGAGAACAAGATATTCCACCTTCTGGTTCACTCCCCAAATGGCTGCAATGGCCGGAGTTGAGCCAATTTGAAACCAGGAGTCAAGAGCTTCCTCTGGGTGTCCCACACAGATGCAAGTGCTTTCCTAGGGCATAAGCAGCAGGGAGCTGGATTGAAAGTGTATCAAACAGGACCAGAATCAGCATCCACATGAGATGCCGGATCCATCATGTGTAGGATTAATCTGTTGAGCCACCACACCAGCCATCCATGGCTCTCTTTATATCCAGATTTCTCTAACTTGTTTCACTGAACTGTGAAGTGGCAGGTATGCATTTAAAAAAAAAAGTAACAGGGCAACAGCCGCGGTGCCAAAGGATAGGAGGGAAATAATTAGCAGTGATGGAAACAGAAAATTCCATGTTATAACTCATTGACCTGCATACACAAAACTGGCAAATAGATTATAAATAAACAACCTACACCTCAATACAGCTGAATCCTACACTTGGGAAGTGACCTAAGTTGCAGGACAGGAACTTGATGCCCTGCTCCCTCAATAATGATGCAAGAGATGGGAGTGCCACGTGCCAGCATTAGTCACCAGGAAAGGCAGCCAGGGGCCAGGTGACACACACTCCATGGCCCCGCCACTCCTGGCTGACTCACCACACGCAGGAGAAATAGCCCAGCTGCAGGATACAGCTGAGTCTCCAAACAGAGGCCTCATTACATACAAAGCCTGTGAAGTGGCAGAGACCAGCCTGGGCCTGCAAATAAGCCTGGGGTTCTCCATCTGGAATGCCTTCCCAGCAGTGGAGGGCAACCCTGTTGTACTTGGCCATCAGACTTTAGACCTCAAACAGCAACTGAGGCTCTTCTGAGAGCGCCCAGGCAGGGGCAGATGCTGGTAAGACACCAGTTAGGATACCCTCATCCCATAGCACAGGAACGCTGGAAACATCGCTCTGGCCTTTGGCTGTGGCTTCCTGCTAACACGGACCTGGGAGGCAACAGTGATGGCTCCGTGAGCTGAGTTCCTGCCACCCCACTAAGACCTCCACTGAGTTCCCAGCTTCTAGCTTCAGTCCTGGCTGGGTGCTGTTATGAGTAAGTGGATAGATGCTCTCCCTCTCAATTAAATAAATAATTTTCTTAAAAGATTTATTTTTATTGCAAAGTCAGATTTATAGAGAGAAGGAGAGACAGAGAGGAACATCTTCCATCTGCTGGTTCACTCCCCAAGTGGCCACAATGGCTGGAGCTGAGCTGATCCAAAGCCAGGAGCTTCTCTGGGTCTCCTATGTGGGTACAGGGTCCCAATGCTCTGGGCCGTCCTCTACTGCTTTCCCAGGCCACAAGCAGGGAGTTGAAAGGAAAATGGGGCAGCCATGGAACACTACTTGTCTGGGAACTTTTTAATTAAAAACAAAAAATTATTTAAGGGACCTGGCAATGGTAGCCTAGTGGCTAAGCTGGGAGAGCCCTGCCCCTAAGGCCAGATGAGCCCTCCGATGGCAGCATTCAGGCCTGTGAAAGGCTGGAGAGGTCTCCTGTGCAAAATGAAGGGGCCTCCAAGAAAAGAGACCTCTGCATGCCACACTGGAGCCCCTCCCAATGAGAAAGCAGGTGAACAGGCCTGAACAGGCCCAACATACAGCTTTTCACACACCCAACGCATCATCCTCTATGTTCCACCCTGCCCTCCACCGTCCTCACCCCAGCCTCCCAGCACCTGGGCTCGGTACGTGGGCCATAGCCAGGGCTTGAAAGATTAGCCTTTTCCTCTCTTGGCTGCCACGTTTCATTCTCACCAGAATCCTTCTGCAAAGACACATAAGCCTAAGGAATCTCTACGCTGTTGAATTGGCCTCTCTCACTCCTCTGTATTCTCTACCTTACGTTAGATGTATGTGTGTGCGTGTGTGTGTGTGTGTGTGTAAAAACATACATCTTCTAGTTTGAGCAAAAACAGACACTCAGGACAAGTGTTTAATCCAGCACTTGGGATGCCAGGGCGTCTGGGGTTCAAGTCCTGACTCCGCAACCTCATTTCCAGGCACCTTGCGAGACTGCAGGTGATAACTCAACAATTGGGACTCTACCAACCATATGGGAGATGTGGCTTGAACTTCTGTCTCCAGGCTTCAGCCTGGCCCTGCCTAGTTAGTGCAGGTATTCGGAGAACACATTGCTGATTGGAATTCTCTTATTTTTCCTCTGTCTCTCTCTTCTCTATTCTTCTTTCTTCCTCTCTCTCTCTCTCTCTCTCTCTCTCTCTTTCTCTCTCCCTTCACCCTCTTCTCCTCACATACACACACAGCTATTCTGTCTCTATCACTTTGCCTCTGAAACAAATGAAAATTCTTAAAGGAATGGATGGGGGTGGGCAGGACACAGTACAGAAGCACAGTGGATTAAGCTACTGCCTCTGACACCAACATCTGTATGAACCCTAGCTCAAGTCGTAGCTGCTTTACTTCTAATCCAACTCCCTGCTAATGCTCCTTGGAAAGCAGCAGAAGATGGCTGCCATGCACCTGGGAGACCTGGATGAAGCTCCTGGCTCCTGGTTTCAGCCTGGCTGTTACAGCCATCTGGGAAATGAACAAATGATGGAAAAATCTCTCTCTCTCTCTCTCTCTCTCTCCTTTCTCTCTCTCTGTTTCTCTGTCTCCTCCTCTCCCCCATAACTCTACCTTTCAGATAAACAAAATAAATCTAAAACACACAATGAAAAGAACAGCTGTTTACACTTCTTTGTCCTGTGTGCCTAGTCATTTCTGCATGATACCCAAGATACATCTTACAACTGAATGATCAAAGAATCAATTCTCAAATGCAGCATTTAAATGAAAGGCAGCTCTAAAATCATCCCGGAATATAAAAAAAAAAAGTCCTCCAATGACAACTCCTTCAGAACAAGCCACCTCACCATAAATGGCACATCATCAGCAAAAAGTAAAACCCATTCTCACGTGGTGAACAAAGCCAATCATTTGTGCAAAAAAAAAGTCAATCGTTTCTATTATCATAATACTCATGAAGCTTCCCTGCAAATCCCCCAAGGTCTTGGAGGTCAACAGTCAGCTGTTCCTGAAGATGCACTTCTTCGACGCCTCACTACACATGCAAAACGGAACACACCTCATACGACTTAGTTTCCAGGTCTTTGATGTGGTCCTCGGCACCAGGCAAGCTCTTATAATAGGCCATGTTCCTCTTCATCATCTCATCATCCGGATGCTTCAGGAGAAACGTGTGAGCTGCTGCGATGGCTTTTGGGAGATTATTTGCCTAAGAAAAAAGACAGACCACAGCTACTCAATGGGTGCTGCTTTTGTATGCTTGTTTAAAAGATTTCGTTTTATTGGAAATGAAGATTTAGAGAGAAGGAGACACAGAGAGATCTTCCTTCTGCTAGTTCACTCTCCAAATGACTGCGATAGCTGATCCAAAGTCAGGAGTCAGGAGCCTCTTCGGAGTCTCCCATGTGAGTGCAAGTTCCCAAGGCTTCTGTTGTACTGTTTTCCCAGGCCACAAGTAGGGGGTTGGAAAGGAAGTGGAGCAACCAAGATATGAACAGGCACCTATAGGGGATCCTGGCACTTGGAGATGGAGGGTTAGCCAATTGAGGCATCATGCTGGCCCTTGGGCATTGTGTTTTTTTAATAAAAATGAAAATGGCAGCTCCAGTTTCAAGGATCTTTGTGATCCTACGCAGTATTTTCAGCTATGGGGTCAGTGGCTGCCCACCCAGATCCAGCCCAGCCACTCTGCATGGGCATTCATCTGCCAGAGGTGACCAGCTAGGCGGCCTCCATGTGTCTCTTCTTCCCACCTGCTCTCTGCTGCCGCCCTGTGTGGACCTGAGCAGACACCTTTGCCCTCCAGCAATCTCAGAGACTCACAAGCAGGTGCAATGCGGGGATGAGGGATAGATGGAAAGGAAGGCTGGGATCCTTCATCTCCTGGCTTCCTCCTCACACATCACCCTGGGCTGCTAGGAAACCCTTAAGATAAAAGCCACGGCTCCTTTCCAGGCATTCTCCATGCAGCTTCCCTGGGTCAAGATTCCAGAAAGTGCTTTTCCCCCTGTCCCTTTGGGTTAGGGGCCAGTTATACCCTGCTATTACTAGTTCTGGGGTACACACTATTCCCACATGCTGCATACACCCTGGCAAAAAAAAAAAAAAACTGTCCTATAAGAGCTGCCACTGTAGTGCAGCATGTTAGGTTATGGTTTGTGGTGCCAGTAGCCATTATCTGAGCACCGGTTGGTGTTCCACAATTGCTCTGCTTCCAATCCAGCTCCCTACTAATGCACTTGAGACAGCAGCAGCAGACGGTCCAAGTGCTCAGGCCTCCGCTACCCACGAGGAGACCTGGAAGAAGTGCCTCACTTTAGCCTATCCCACTGTTGGCTACTAGGGCCATGTGGAGAGTGAACCAGCAGATGGAAAATAACTCTTCCTCCCTTTCCATCTTTCAAGTAGATAACTAAATCGTCAGAAGTGTCTTATGAAAGTTTTCTCAAATTATTCCATATGACTGCAACACATCCTTCATGGTAGCACCTTTACAAATACATAACTTTCCCAAATCTCTCACAGAGCTTTCTGCTTGTACTTCTATTTTTAAATTTTATTTTGTATTTGTTTTTATTTGAGAGAGAGAGAGAGAGAGAGAGAGAGAGAGAGAGATCTTCCCACTGGCTCACTCCCTAAATGCCCACACAGCTGGGCTGGGGCCCGGCCAGTCAGAAGCCTGGAACTCCATCTAGTCCTCCCATGTGGGTGGCAAAGAACCAAGCAGTTGAGCCATCACCTGCTGCCTCCCAACATGGACATTAGCAGGAAGCTGGGGAAGAGATGGAGCCAGGACTAAACCCCAGGAACTCCAATATGGGTGGCAGGCATCTCGAGCACTGGCTAACCTGTGTCAAACGCCTGCTTACTTCCACTCCTGACAACCTCACTACCTTCTCCCTTACTCATCCAACCACTCAGCTCTCTCTCCCATATGCAGGCACTCTGGGAATTGAACATGTAGGGACAAGCAAAGCAAAACAGGATGGCGATGGAGAGAACCTGTCTTCATGGCCTGTACATTCTAGTAAGTTCTCCGTGTCTCAGTAAACTCCGTGGATTCTGTGCTCCCACATTTCACACTGCCCAGAACTCGTGACTTGCGTATCCATGGGTACCCCACCCATCAGACGACCAAGCCGTGAGTCAAAAGATCCACATCTACATTCCCAGCACCTGGACCAGTTCATGGAACTAGGAAGGATACCGTGAGAATTGCCTGGGTAGAGGGTCGGTAGCAGTCTGAAAAAAGCCCTGTTCTCTTGGCAGGAGCCTGGCAGGTTTGAGGGGAAAAGGAAATTAGGGAAGAAGCAGCAGGAAGATGCTGCCAAACCTGGAAGAAGGAGGAAGGGGGGCGTGGAGAATCTTTTCCCCAAACTATGAAGTTTCCCTTGGGTGGGCAGCAGCAGCAGGCCCAGGAACCTTGGAGATTCAGGGTTCACGACCCAGTTGGCAACGTTCAAAGGATAGAAGCCCTTAGGGGGGACAGCTGTGCTGGCAACAGGTGCTCCTTGGTCAGGAAGAGAGGGATGTGGATGCTTCCCATGACCAGGCCTAGGGAGACCCCCAGACTGATGTAATCACCACACAGCCTGGTGCAGGACATATACAGAGATTCAGAGTGGCATCGGAGGCGGAAATCTAGGAAATCTGGCTTGGAAAGAGAAAAAGATATCTGAAGGCCACATCCCACATTAGTGAGTCAGTTCAAATCCTGGTTGCCCCACTTCCAGCCCAGCTCCCTGCTAATGGTCGGGAAGGTCATCAATGATGGCCTGAGTGCACAGGCCCCTGTCACCCATATGACAAGACCGAGATGAAGCTTCCGGCTTCAGCCAGGCTCAGCTCTGGCATGGTGGTTACTTAGGGAAGGAACCAGCAGATGTTTCTCTTTCTAAATAAGTCTTTCAAATCAATCATTTAATATAAAAAATCTGAGACTCATAGGGTGGGCAGCACCCCTCTGCACTGCTGTCCCACAATTTGAGCCTAGGCATATTGAGATGATGGTGAGTGGTACTGAAGGGAGATTCCAGATGTCAGAGCTGGTACTCTGGGAATACAACAGCGTGGTTTATAGCAGGGCTGGATATGCCAGCGCACAGGGAGCCTTCTGCCCATTCGGCAGAGTTACACAGAACATCTTCTATCAGCTGATTCACTCCCCAAATGTCCACCACGGCAGAAGTTGGGCAAGGCTTCTTCCAGATCTCCCACATGGGTGCAGGGGTCCAAGCACCTGGGCCATCTTCTGCTGCTTTCCCAGGCACATCAGCAGGGAGGTGAATCAGAATTGAAACAGTCAGCTGGGCCTACCGAGGTAGCCTAGTGGCTAAAGTCCTCACCTTGCGTGCGCCAGAATCCCATATGGGTACTGGTTCATATCCTGGTTGCTCTACTTTGCATCCAGTTCCCTATTTGTGCCTAGGACAGCCACAAAGATGGCCCAAAGCCTTGGGACCCTGCACATGCGTGGGAGCCCCAGAGGAAGTTTCTGGCTTCAGATCAGTTCATCTCTGGCTGTTGTGGTCACTTAGGGAGAGAACCAGCAGATGAAAGATCTTTCTCTCTGTCTCTCCTTCTCTCTGTAAACCTGCCTTCCCAATCAAAATAAAGAAATCTTAAAAAAACAAAACAAATAAACAAACAAAACATGTGAAACAGCCAGAACTCGAACTGCTGCCTACATGAAACGCTGGTATTGCAGGCAGCTGTTTAACTCATGAAATTATAATACCAGCCCCAGAAGTTTTTCCACGGCCTCCCATTTAGGATCTGAGTTCTACAAAATGGAACCTTTTCCCGAAGAAGAAATTGATGCTGTCACCTTCCATTCTGATTCTCTCTGCCAGAACATGGATTCACCCCAGGGCCACCAAGCCTTGGACAGACCTGGAGCAGGTGCTGGAGTAGGTAGGGGAATCTACCTGCCAGGGACCACACACGTGGGAGCCACCAGCTCTCATGAGAAGACCCCAGCTACATGTCAGACAACGCCAACCCTAAACAGGCTTCAGGGACCCCAGTGTCCAGGTCCAGCAAGGAATAAGGTAAGGACCTGTTCAGGCCCCAGCTGCTCCACTTCCCATCCAGCTCCCTGCTTGTGGCCTGGGAAAGCCACAGAAGATGGCCCTAAGCCCGAAAGAGGCTCCCGGCTTAGGATCAGTGCAGCTTTGGCCATTGAGGCCACTTGGGGAGTGAACCAGCAGATGGAAGACCATTCTTACTGTGACTGCCTTTCAAGTAAATAAATAAGTCTTTAAAAAAGAAATTTTAACTTTTTGATGAGATCTGAAAACACTAAGGTGATATTTTACTGCCTTCTAAGCAAATGATTGCTCCCAAGTCCTCTAAAGGGTTTTGAAGAGGAGCTATGAAACCCGAGCTCGCCTGCTGAGGCCGATCCACTGCACACCCCACGGCCCCACCGGTCACCACACACCCCACACCGGTCACCACACACCCCATGGCCCCACCGGTCACTGCACACACCACACCGGTCACCGCACACCCCACGGCCCCACCAGTCACTACACACCCCACAGCCCCACCAGTCACTGCACACCCCACACCCCACACCGGTCACCGCACACCCCACAGCCCCACCAGTCACCACACACCCCACACTGGTCACCACGGACCACACGGCCCTACCAGTCACTACACACCCCACGGCCCCACCAGTCACCGCACACCCCACACCCGTCACCGCACACCCCACGGCCCCACCAGTCACCGCACACCCCACACCCGTCACCGCACACCCCACGGCCCCACTGGTCACATCAAACAACACACTCTCCCTTCCCCCATCTGTTCAAGTTGTCATGGATTCCTGTACCCAAGAAATCACAGCTTTAGGATCTTCCGGGTCTAATAATAAATTGTTTTCTCCTTGACTTTGTGACTTAAATTTCATTCAGACTGTTTATTTTGCCAAAAAAAAGTATCAGGCAAATCATTTTTAGCTTTTAAAAAAAAATGCTTTTAAGGAGCCAGCTGTCACTTTCAATGTTTTGGAATTTTATAAATCTCATCCCCCGGTTCTATTTTAAAATTAGCTTTTCTGTTTACTGCCAGGACAAACATTCACAAAACTGATATTTTATATGAAACTGTAACTAAATTTAGAAATAGCCCAGCATTTCTCCTTTTGTGGTTCAGTGTGACTTTCTTGCTCATAGCAATGCAATCCACAAGTGACTCTGCTTTGGCTGGAAATGTGTAAAAACAGACTTTTCAGGCGAAAGGAGTCAAACAAAGTTTAAAAGCACAGCAAGGGCCCAGTGTGGTAGCCTAGTGGCTTAAGTCCTCGCCTTGCACACACTGGAATCTAATATGACTGTCGATTCTAATTCTGGCAGCCCTGCTTCCGTTCCAGCTCCCTGCCTTTGGCCTGGGTTGAGGACAGCCCAAGGCCTTGGGACCCTGCACTGACGTGGGAGACCCAGAGGATACTCCAGGCTACTGGCTTCAGATCCGTTGCGGCCACTTGGGGAGTGAATCAGTGGACAACGGAAGATCTGTGTCCCCAATTCTGTGTATCTGACTTTCCAATAAAAAAAATAACTCATAAAAAAAAAGCACAGCAAAACTTGTACCTGGGTGGGGAGGCGCCTTAGTTAGCTGTGGCCTGTAACGCCAGCAGCCTCTATTGGAACACAGCTGATGTCTCAGCACCTCTGCCTTGGTCTCGGTTCCCTGCTCAGGCAACTGGGAGGTAGAGGAGGCTGGCTCAAGTGCTTGGGCTCCTGAACGCACACAGGAGACCAGGGAAACCCCAGATGAAATTCCTGGCTCCTGGTGTTGGGGGATGGGGGCATGAATCCCCAGATGGGCTCTCTCTGGTATTCTGCCTTTGAAATAAATCTTCTTAAAAGAATCTATCTTGGGAGTCTTAGGTATGCCATGGGTCTTTCCGTGCAGACATTAAAGCAAATGCAACATATTTCTTTTAAAAAAGTGTCCCCAACGGGACAAAGCAGAAAGCAGGCTTTCAGGGGCTTCTCTTCTGAGACAATTCCAGGGACGCCGCTTCGCTCAGTACCAGGGAGCTCGGCTCATTCCTAAATTGTGTAGGTCCTCTAAGGGCAGGGAGAACTGCAATTTGTGGCTATTTTTAGTCACAAATTAGGCAGAAAATAAGCATCTCCAAAGACCAGGAAGCTGTGTTAAGTGCTAAAAGAGAGAGTGTGGGGGGTGCACCAGGAGAGCCACCCCTTCGACCAATCCCGGCTCACATGGTCCCTTCCCTCGCCTCAACTTCCTGTTCTCCTAACTGACCCGCCCGGCTCCATGGGTCCTCTGCCACTTTAGGGCCGCAAAGTCATCACTCATTGGAGACAGGGCAATATGGATGGGTCAGGAAAAATTCAAATCACAGGGAACATCCCCAAGACTCTCTGAGTGCCAGACGCTGCGCTGCTGTCCACGTGCGCATCCCTTGCCTTTTATAGCATGGAAGGAGGAGGCGACCTCCGGAAGGGCTGGCAAAGAGGTGGGTCCAGAAAGGGCAAGGGGAGGTGGCCGGGACCTGGGGGCAGGGGTGTAGGTCGGGAGGCGGGAACGGGCGCGGCGTGGGGCGGGGCCGACCGCACTTGCCTTGAAGTAGGCGAACTGCAGAAACTTGTAGGGCTCGCGGCGCTGGAAGTCGGCCAGCACTTCGCGGCTGGGCTGCGACTGGCGGAAGGCCGGTAGGCCCTGCTTGCAGCGTTTGAGGCAGTGAGCGCGGCGCAGCAGGTCCCCGAAAAGGCGCAGCTCCGGGTAGCGCAGCAGAGCAGCGGAGGCTTCGCCCTGCGGCGCCACGCTGCAGTTACGATGGCAGAAGGCCTCGCTGTCCCGCAGCAGGCGGTGCAGCCGTAGGCTGATCTCCAAGTAACCCACGCTCTCGGCCCAGTGCTCGCTGCTGTACTGGTCCAGCGCGTGCCTGTAGGCAGATTCGAGCGGCATCAGTTCATCCCGCGGGAAGCTGCGGAAGCTGTAGCGCTCGTACTGGGCGCGCCCAGGGCGCAGCGCGCAGCCCGCGCATAGCACCGCCAGCAGGGCGGCGGCCGCCCGGGGCCCCGGCACCATGGCACCCGGCGGAGCGGAAGGAAGGACGGAGCAGAGGAAGGAGGTGGACGGCGCGACGCGGCGGAGGGGCCGAGGCTTAGGAGGCGGGCCGCGGGCCGCTGGCCCGCCCCGTCCGGCCGCTCCTCCCCGCCCCGCCGGGGGATGCCGGCCCAGCTGCGGCCGTGTAGGGGGTCCTAGGTGAAGGCGCCCTGCCCTCTGGTGCTCGCTCAGCGCCACGCGTACTCTAGGCTGTGCCGTTTAGTCTCAGGGACGCTGCAGGCTGCAAGCCAAGCGTTTAAAGGACTTGGAAACTCAAGTTTCGGAGCCCGTCCGCAGTTTCCGCAGGGGAGCAGCGCAAGGCTGATGCTAGGGGTCCGGGACTACTCTTTGAGATGCATTGCTGTCCGCCTTAGATTGCATGGGTGGGTGGGGGGGGGGGGGATACGTGAGCATTGACAACATGAATGAGGTGTCAAAGACAATACTTGTATTTCAATTTATTTTAACCTTTTTAAAAAATAATTTACGAAAAAACTTTCAAGGAGATTTAGATCCGTTGCTTTGCTAACACCTGCCACCTTTCCCTTTAGTATTACATCCTTATTTGTTTTTGTTTGTTTTTTCTGAGTCATTTGACAGTAGTTTGCATTTATTAGGCGCACCCGTCCCTGAATCTTGGAGAAAGTGCTGAGAGTGAAACCACAGACAACCATCGCAGAGAAGACATTTGATGTTTACAGACGGTATGTTTCTGAGTCCAGGGTTGTCCCTTCTCCCCGCACAATATGTAGCTCAGGGTCTCATTGTACCTACTAGTCCCCTCAGCTTTTCTTGTGATGTCAGTGGCAAAACAGAACAAAACCACAAAACAAACACTTTCGGAAAACTTTGGAAGCCACATAGAGAGATCTGCCCTCTGGCTCACGCACCAAACGGCCGCAATAGGCAGGACTGAGACAGACCTGAGCCAGGAATTTCATCCGGTTCTCCTGCCTGAGTTGCAGGGGCTCAAGTATTTGAGCCACCTTCCACTACCTTCTCAGGGACATTAGCAAGGTTGGAAATGAAGCAACAGTGCTGCAGGTGGCAACTTAACCTACTTTGTCACAATACTGACCCTACCGTTGGCATATTTGAAAAATACAAGCCAAAGAAGAAATGGCATAGCACCACAAATCTATTAGAAGATCAGAATCCAGAAATACATCGAATGCTGACAAAGTTATGGAGCATAAGATGTCCTTCCTCGCCGCTGCTGAGTATGCAAAATGACACGGTCACTTGGGAAGGAAGTCTGATACTGTTTTAGAAAACTTAACATATTCACTGTGAGTGGAGAACAAACAGCTCCCCTTGCACTCCTGCAATTGTACTGTTTGATTTTTTTCCCCCCAAATGAGTTAAAACATACACGCAAAAAAAAAAAAAAAAAGCTTTCAATGGATGTTGATCTGTTCCTGCCAAAACTTGGAGGCAACCACAATGTCCTGCATGCTCCTAACATCCTTGAAAAGGAAAAGCTAAAAAGGAGACGGGGTAAAGATCAGGGTTATGAGAGGAGGGATGCACTGGCAGAACACAGGATTTGGGAGGAAATGAACCATTCTATAAGGTACTGTAACGGTGGGCATCTGTCCTACATTTGTCAAAACCCATGGCAGGGGTGGGAGCCTAGCCCAGGTCTCCCACATGAGTGGATGCCTTGGCCTGTCCCGGGCATGCACCCCAGCTCCATACTCTAAACCACCTGGTCTTGGCAATCTCATCTATCCATGAGTACAGTGGCCTGGTCCACAGAAGCCCCCAGAAGTCACTCCTTAGTTGTTAAACATGCCCTCAGCGGCCCTCCCTCCAACATGTTCCCAGACTCCCCTCCCTGGGCAACCTGCAGCCCCTCCTCCACGAGGTGGTGTGTGACACACTTAGAGACCAGGGTGACACCTTCTGCCATGCTGTGCAGAGTTCCCCACGTATCTTAAAAAAAAAAAAAAAAAAAAAGAATAAGCAACTATGCTGACACACAGCTGCTTGGACTGGGGTTGGGTCATGTCAAGATGAGATGCAACAGCCACTGGCATACATGAGATCTGGGGCTGGGAGTGGATCTGCTAGAACTTAAGTAAATCTCCCACTGTTGAACACAAGAGCCAGGGCTGGGGACAGGCCAGGCCAAGCCAGACTGCAGCACCCATTGCCATACGTATAGTCTAGGTCTAGGGGCAGGCCAGGCTGGGATAGTCCACAACATTTCCTGGCATGAATGAGAGCCAGGACACAGCGCAGACCAGGCCAGGTTGGGTCATAACATTCACTAGTTCACATGAGGGGTGGGCCAGGCTAGGCTAGGTTGTAGCACCTACCAGTGAGAGCTGGGATTGAGGGCAGGCTAAGCTGAGCCAGGGTGCAGCACCTACTGGGGTGGACCATGTCAGACTGGGCTACAGCACCCACTTGCATGAGCAACACCTAGAACTGGGAGCAAACCTGGTATGGGAATTACGAGGACTCCTCAGCTACGTTGGTGATTCCACTGGTGAGCATGAGAGCTATGACTGGGGGCAGACCAAACCAGGCAAGGCTGTAGCACGCATCCTCATTGGTCAGCATGTGGGCTGGGTCTAAGGGAGGGCTAGGCTGGGATAGGCTGCCACACATACTGATATGCGCAAGAGCCAGAATGGGTGCAGTCTGGCCAGGCTAGGCTGTAGCACCAACTGGCAAGTACCGAGACTGGGCATGAGCCATATCAGGTTGAACCACGGTACCCTGAGGCAAGTACAAGATCCAGGACTGGGAGCAGGCCTGATAAGGAAACTGTTGGGCAATTCCTTTTTTTGGCTGCAGCTCCTACTGGTGAGCATAAGAGTCAGGGTTAGAGACAAGACAGGCTGGACAAAATGGCAACACCTATCAGCATAAGTGTGGGCCAGGACTGGGGGCAGGTCTGACTGAGCTAAATCACAGCACCCATGGGATTGCACAAGAGCTGGGTAGGATTGCAAGACAGGCCAGGCTACGCTGCAGCACATGCCAGTACACAGGAAAATTGGGGCTGGGGTGGACCTGGTGGGAGTTATTGGGGGTCTCTGCAACTAGACTGCAGCACCCACTAGTGTGTGTGTGGTGTGAACTGGGCCTATGGTAGGCTGGGCCGGGCTGGACCGTAGCACCCATTGATTCATATGAGAGATGGAGCTGGGGGTGGAACTGACCATGCAGCTGCATCCAACCATATGTACTAAGTACACTGGCTGATACAGGTAACAGACCAAACCTGACACTGTACTTGCTGGTGTATACAAGTCAAATGTAAGGTCACCTTAGAAAACGTTCCTTGGGGACTCCCCAACTAGGCTGCTGGAGTAAACCCTGGTCACAGTGACAAATCACAAGATATGTGATTCAGTGTTGGAGTATCAGGACTGGGCCTCCTAAGCTGCTGATGCCTGTGCAGTGGACAGCATGCCCAGATGCACAGTGGACATGAGAGCCAGCTCACCTAGACTGCAGAGGACATTAAGTGCCTCATCAGAGGATGGAAAGTAGAACAGGTTGGACCACTCTCCTGGCCACGCTTTGCAGCAAGTCTCTAGGTTTGTGGGTATGCTAAGATGGACTTGGTCAGCCAACAGACCTTGAAAAGACTTTTCTCAACCTTGGTGCAATAAGCTGACAATGTCTCAGAAACATAAAAAGCACTCAAGTAACTCCCTCAAACACTCTTCCCCACACCAGGGTCTCTAAGATGTTCTAAAAGGATCGTCCCCCACCCCTGGGTGCTGATGTACTTTGATAGCAAAGAATGACCAGCTTTCTTAGTGGTCTCTCTAATGGGGACTGGGACTCAATGTGTGACATCTCTGCCGAGAACTTTGGGACACAGGGAGTGCACAGGCGAGACGAACCAATGCACATTTTCGTGGATTTTTCTGAGCTTCTTATATCAACTTTTTGCAGGACAAGCAGGTTGGTAAAAGTTACAAGGGAGTAGGGGAAAACAGTCACCAGCAGCTGGATAGGTAAACATGAGTTACAAGAATCAGCACTGGTGAATAAACAGATCTAACTAGAAAAAGAATCCAAGAGAACTTTGTTGGTACTCAGATACGTTTAGGCCATAATCACTAAAGGAAGACGGCGGTAATGAAGACGCCTCGCACCTCCCCAGACCCGTTGGCCGGTAAGGTTTCTCCGCAGTCCCATCAGGGAGTCTGCTCCCTGCAGCATTCTCAATCTGCTGAGAACAGTTGAGATTCGGAGTCCTTGGGCATCATGATCTGGTTTTTTGGGGGGCAGATCTCCACAATGAATAAATCTCCACACCCCTTCCCTTCTATCATGGGGGACACAGGAGAAAACAAAAGAAAGAAAAAGGAACTGAAACATTTTTTCCACCCATGTTCCTCCATACCTTGACCTTCCTAACCCTAATTGGAGGTTCACATGGACCTATACCCCTTTAATAGATAGTATTCACTCAAAGGGAAGAAAGGACAACAGATGAACCTACTGCCTCTTTGCCACCACTATTCTCTATCACGTAGGCTTCTGCATGGGGGAGTTAACTGGCTACCTTTCTGGGCTGTACCACCCCATCTCATGGGCAGCCACCAAGAAACATAGTGCCCCATCCATTCCAGAGAGTCCAGAAGTGCCTAAGGTGGCAGAGGCTGCAGAGAGTTTGTCCAGCAGCAGCAGGGGGCAGGCAGCCTAGGGTTTAGGAGACAGGTGTCTGCTCCCCTTGAGTGGCAGGTGAACTACCTGATACAGCCACTGTCATGACTTGAACCACTCAAACCACAGAGGCTGTTGACTCAGAAACAATAAACTTAAGATATCTTGGGGCCTGCATGGTCAAGTTGACCAGATGGAGAGTTTCGTTGACTGGGAAAGATTCATGCTACTAAACAAGGCCTTAATGTATGTCTCTAACCCACTGTCACCCCACGGGGACCTTAGGCCGGATCTGGCCAAACTTTCTAATCTTTGGGGAGAAACAGGACATCCAGATTACATAAACTCTTTTTTAAAATTCATTTATTTTTATTGGAAAAGA